GACTGAAAGAGAAGAGTGAGGATGAAAGTCCAAGACCAAGAAGGAAGGCACTTATTTAACTTGATCTAAGCCTACATATATCATTTTTGATGTTTCCTTATTACCAAGAACTCCTAATAATGAGATGTCATTTCTCATAGTAACAAGTTCAGGGCTTTAATTGCAAAACTGGAATTCTGACTGTTGCTGTTTGTTTTTTGATATTGTTTATAACTAGAAGACAAACATATCAATATCTAACTTTTACTGAGTATTACCAGTAAGTACTATGTCCGCACTGATATAGGAAGTACGGTGTAGCAAAACTGGCTCAGGATATAAGTGGGACCTGTCAATTACAAGATCTCAGGACAGCACCAAATAATTCCCAGGATACCACGTGTGGAACTTCTTGTGGGCTTCCACAAGATACGGGCAACATATCCGGACAAAATGCCAAGAGGAGCCCACTATTATGACTCTTCACGGTAGCCCACTCTGTGTCTTCTAGACCAGGGTGTATTTTTATTTTTGCTCTTTTTCTCCTTTCCTCGTTTGCTCCCCAGAGCCAGTTTTCCCCTTATCCCTCCACTCCTCACTTTTCAAATAAACTTTTGGCACTGTTTTTGGCTTGTCTCATCCAACTGTTTGTTCAAGGCAAGAAGGACCTGGAAGAAATAAGTTTAATTGGCAAGCCAGTTCTAAAAGAACTACCCAATAATAGCGCTGTTCTAAATGTTTTACATGGATTAACTCAGTTAATCAACATAAGAAGTCAATGACATGGCTATTACTATTATCGTAAATATACAGGAGAAAATACTGAGATTTGAAAAGATAAGGAACCTGAGCCAAGCTTACAGAGCTGGTAAGTGATGAAGTTTGGATATGAGTAATGAAGCTTTCCCTTATGTAGTTACTTCACTGCAGTGGTTTTCAAATTATATTTGGCAGAACTCTTCAGCTCCAAGAATGCTACTTTCAATACATTGGGTTTTTTGAGGATATACCAAAAATACTGTTTTACTTTATTTTTATTTTTTAAAGAGAAAAAAACAGAAAAAAAAACCCTAAAGAAACAAACAGCAACAACAAAAACACTAAAACAACAGTGATATAGGATTTCAAAACATGATAGGAATTTAATAATGGTTGCTATACTGCATATTGTTATCTTCAAAAGAGATGTTCAGATTTCAAGATATAGGCATGCAAAATTGATCAAACAGTATGAACACTGTTCTTTTGTATGAACTAGTAGAACTAGCAGTACTATTATCTTACGTATCTTGTGTATATTTTTATAAATTTACATTTCCCCTTTTCCTTTCCTTCTTTTCTCCTTTCCCCCCTTCCAGTTGTTCATTATGTTTTTAAATCCATGTTTATAATGTCAATAAAACAGCAAAATCAAAATTTTTTATTGTTGTTGTATCATTATGTAGCTCAAAGTTATCCTCCTGCCTCAGCCTCCTGAGTTCTAGGACTACAGGTATGCATCATTATGTAAGACAGCAATCAAAACTTTTATAGAATGAAGGCACTGAAGTGAACACATTAACTTACTGCTGCCAGGTACAATCATTTTCATATAACCATTGGAATAAATCTAGTCCTCTTACCTCTGAGACCGTACTTGAACTTCCTGTAACTATAGCACTCATTTGGAAGATGTCATGCTGGTTTTGCTTTTTTAAACTCAAGACTGCATCTTTCTGCTCAAGTAAAACTGCATGGCAAGTAATCAATCAAGTACTAGGCCAAGTTCAGGTGCATTTTATTACAGCACAAGGGCACAATAGTATCATCTCATTTACTTTAAATTTTAAGGAGTCTACTGCCTGATATATTTAAGGTAAGGGATATGGGTTAGATATGATTTTAAATTTTTTCTACTTGACATGGTTTGTGTCTAGATATTCCTCCAAAGCTTCACATGGTCACAGGTAAAACTTTTCAGTGGTGGCTGGATCTAGAGTGCATAATTAGAGTGCTGGAATTAAATGTGTGATGCTGGGATCAAGGATACATTGGTTACTAACGTGCACTGATTGGTTTGGCATAGTTCCGGTTGTGGATAACAGGAAGCCCCATCTCAGGTGTGAGTACTATCCACCCTTACTAAATACATGTAGCCTGAAGAGCATATATGGGACAGAAAAAAGGTCGCTGTCACTTGCTGGCTCCTTCACTACTTTGCTGCTGTGCTGCCTTCTGCCCTCCGTGAACTGATTCTCCTCTATGAAGCCCCTCTGCATGATTCCCTGCCTTGATGTCAGCCAACTATGAAATAAAACCTCCACAAACTGTGATCCAAATAAACCTTTCCTCCTTTAACTTTGGGTGTTGGGTCACAGCAATGAGAAAAGTAACTAAGACACTATTCCTATTGTTTCCTATTATTTCTCCTTTTTAAACAAATATGTAAGTGAAGGGTAGGTATCCTGAGATGGCAAGGGAAATTATTAGTCATTTGCACCACTCCACTTCAGCCATATTCCCCACTGTTATACTCTGAAACTTATCCCCAAATCCCCTGCCATTCCATTTTGCTGTGTATCTTTCCACTTTGACTAGTCCTCAGTTTTACTGTTTCCACTATTTCACTAATCATATACTATACCATTTGATACTACCCAACCCATCAGTTCTTTTCTTTATTTACTTTTACTCTTTATCCATGAGATTCTATGAACTACCACAATATACACTGGCCCATAATCTAACACCTTGGCTACTGTCATTTTGTTCCATGCATCGGGCAAACTCCAACCTTGAATGAAATTTCTATGGGCTCTCACTTTAGTATTCTTATTAACGTTTTCTTATTTCCAAGAACATTTGAAAAATTCACTTATCTCAGTTACACTAGTTTGAAAGTAGCTGAGCAGCTAGATAAGTCTGAGTAGCTAGATAAGGTCAACAGCATAGATAGGTTATCACCCTGTATGTTCATGGCCACCAATTTCTACAAGGTTTCAATGCTGCTAGACAACTTTTCTCTGTTGGCATGCTCTGTCTCCAACCACTTACTTTTTTCAAACTTGGACTACTGTCAATCCATGTCTGTGGCCATGCAGAGCCAATGACTTTGCCTCCAGGAAGCAGTTAGAGGAGCTGTACTCACCCCATTCTTGTTTTCTTTCTTTTGAATGCAAGAGGAGTTTGCACTTTTCTACCTCTCAGGAATGTTATGCCATTACTTCTCTCTATACATCTGTAATTATATCTTTCCCATGATCTTTTCACTTTTAATCTTTTGGGGTTTCACCTAATAACTTTTAACAAAAAGGATTTCTGGCAGGGCATGGTGATGCATGCCTATAATCCCAGCACTCAAGAGGCTGAGGAAGGAGTGCTGTGACTTCCAGGCCAGCCTGGGCTACATAGTAAGATCCTGTCTGTAAATAAATAAACAAATGATTTTAAAAACAACAGCAACAGTAATGAGCCAGATGTTACACATACAGTTGCATAAAGTATCTGGAATTATCAACGCTTTTAGAAACAAAGCCCACAGTATTAAAAAATTCTAAACCATCCTGTTACTTTCCTGTATGCATTACAATTAAGAGCTCTGCTAAAACTACAAGCAAGAAAAGCTGCATAATTCTTCAGTGTTATTTTAAAAACCAGTATATTGGATAGTATGATTTTGTGTTACTAGGTCTATACTGTAGATGAGAAGAGAGGAGGGAAAAGGAAGAAACAAATGTCCCAACTACAATTTTTTTTCTTTTTTTAAAACTAAAAATATTGCAGGATAAATACAGACCCACCAATAATCCTTAAGAAGTTCGACAGCACGGTGATACATTTTTACAACAAGGTATTCAAAGAGAAAACATCCTCACACCCTAGTATTTCCTTCACTTGTACTTAAGAAGCAGTTAAAAACAAGATCATTTCTTAATTCTGAAGGGCTCTCCTGACAACTGTTTACAACAATTAAAGGTTTGGTCTCACAGGTCTCAGGAAGTAGAGAAGGAGAGAATGAGCAACAGAGAAAGGGGGTTAAGGGACAGAGCCCGAGACAGACCTCAGATCAAGCTGTGAAAAACCTTGCCAGCACATTCACCTGGGATAGCCTTAGGAAAAATGCACGCCTATTTCCTGAGGGTACCACCTCACTTCTCCTGTCTACAGTGTTGAAGCCCTCACTGCAACTACTGCAGGGCCGCCCACAACTGTAAGGTGTTAATTTTGTAACTACTATGAAGATCTCTTCAGCGTTTTTGTGATGCGCTGGAATAAGGATGCTCCATAAAACGAAGTTTATTATTAGTATTGTTATAGCTCCGAGGCCTAAAATAAAGGAAAACTATAACCCGATATACTTCAAAAGGCAACTCGGAAGCCACAAAAGTATCACTGCCAAGCGGGCAGGCAACGGGCAGGGGCTCCGAGACCCCAGCCTCCACCCTATCCTACACTACCAGACCTCCCAGCACCAGCCATTAACCCTGTCTCATAGGGTCTGAGAGCACCCGCCGCTTGCCACCTCTCCTAGCGGAGGTTTCCTCGGGGGACCGGGGTCCAGGTCGCACCTGACTCCCCTTGGCTTCCCGCACCCCCGCTCAGTAGCTCTCTCGAGGTTCCAGTATTGCCCCACTCCCAGCCCCCGCCTCTCCGCCTAATTTCTAAAGCCCTCGCAGTTTCCTCCAAATCGCTTTCCCCGGGTCTCCCAGCTTGACTTTTGCAACCCTCCTTTTTAAAACCCAGAACCGATCTCGTTCCTCCGCTGTCCCTCAAGCCAGTGGCTGCCTCCCTCCTGTCCCCGCTCGGGAACCGCTAGCCCAACGCAGGGCGACTCGGCCACTCGGACACAGCCCAGGGGTCCCGCTCGTCCCAGTCCCTTCATCCCCCAACAGCCCAGCCGCCCCCGGTCTCCACGGCCCGGTTCTCTCCTCCGTCCCTTTCTCCTAGCCTGGCCTCCCTTCTCCACAGCCCGGGTCTCCCCTTCCTCGCTCTGCCCTCAGCCGATGCCCCTGCCCGCCCGGCCCCGCGCGCCTGTCGCTCACCCGCGGACTCCCCGGTGTTGATCCAGTCCGGGTTGGCGATGCTGGCGATGGCGAAGATATCGGCGGCCAGAAAGAGACATCCTGAGATGATGGTCAGCTTATCCATCTCCCCGCCCCGCTCCCCCCACCCCCCGAGCCCCGGGCAGGCTGCGGCCTCACGCCTCCCGCCCCATGGGCCGCCGCCGGGGCCCGGAGTCCCCGCGCCGCCACCTCGCGCCCCCTCGGCCCCCGCGAGCCGCTCGCGCCCTCAGCGCGCCCGGGACCAGCAGCCGCCGCCCGCCCCGGAACTGCTCGGCCCCCTGCCCGCCCCTCACCCGGAAGTGAAACTGTGGTGCCGGCGAGGCCCGGCCGGCTCGCTGCGCCCCCGCTGCCGCGCGCTGCTAGCCGACGCGTAACCCTCAGACCCGAGACTACATCAGACCACCCCTCCTCTTCATTTTCTTCCCATTAACGAAAACGCTGTTGTATTAGTAACAGCGCAAAATGCCCTCGGTTCGTAAGCCTTCCCAAAGGATAGTGGAACGAGGATGAGAAGAAGCCCCGTGTCCTGCAGAAGGCAGGCCCTACATGGCCCTTGTCACTTTATGCTATCCTGGTCTGTTCCCTGGCTATCAGCTCCGAGGATTGTCCGGTTTAGGAATAGCTCTTAACACTTGCGGGTCAGGCGCTGTAGGTTCTGGCGGTTCCAGAGTGGTCAGAAACAAGTTTTCTGTTTGTAAAGCTTACATTCTGCAAGGGAGTGAGGGACATACGTTTAAAAACTGCCTTTAAGCATAATTTCAGGTGCTGACCCACGATTTTAAAGGGAGTCACTGTGATGGGGGTTGGTGACACATAATCGTAGTGAGGGAAAGATACATTACTTCTGAGACCAGTGGATTATAAAGAACCGGTTTTATAAAGATCTGGCGCATAACTATCCCAGATGCAGGAAACACCAAGTGCAAAGAGCCTTAAGGGAAGGAGCAGGGAAGAAACCTGCAAGTTCAGAGACCAGCAAAATGGACTGTGGGTAGAGGAAGGTACAAAAAGAGGTAGGCAAAGGCCAGAGGTAGGCCTGTGGGGGGCATGACAGTTTGGATTTTAGTGCAACTGAAAGGCACTAGCACGTTTTCAGCCTTGATATTTCATCTGAAAAGTTTATAGTATAGATTACAAGGGGCAAAAATGAAAGCACGGACACCAGTCAAAGGCCAAGCAGTGCATGCGAGAGAATTGTAACCCTGGTCAAGGTTAAGAAATTGTAACCCTGGTCAAGGAAAGAGTGATCAAGATGGAGAAAAAAGGACCAATAGAGTATTTTGTAGAGAGAAGGACTTGCTGACAACAGGGAGATGGTTGAAAGGAAAAAAAAAGAGGATTCAGGAAGGAGTCCTGAGCAACCAGGTGTTTGGTGATACTGTGTACTAAGTGGGAATGTTGGAGACAAGAAAAAAGATATTCTCTTAGTTTGTTAAGTGTATTCAATGGCCAGGGATTTAGCTCAGCAGCACAAGCACTTGCTTTGCGAATGTGAGGGCATGAGTTCCATCCCTGGTACCAAAAAAAAAAAAAAAAAAACCCCAAAAAAAAAAAACCTCTCCATCTACAATTTTGCTGTCTAGTGGAGGTCTTTTCTTCTCTGACTCATGAATCACCATTAGCCCTGACTTTAAATCCAGCTGTCTCTCTCTCGGCTCATACTCTACGTAGCAAATGGAGATGAGACAGTCATTTTCTTAAACGCCACCGAGGTCATCTCTAGAAGGACCTAGAAGAGTGACATTTGTCTCTATTTTTGGACATGCCTACATGTCCACAAAATGCAGCAAGTTTCAAATTCCACCAAATCCAACAGCCTTGCAGAAATGTGTAGTTATCAGTAGCACCACATAGATTGTGGAAGGATGTGATTGCTAATCTTAAGACCAAATATTGGTCTCTTGAGAAAAGATTTTTTAAATTATGTATATATATTTGTATTTTTCCTCTGCCACAGAAACTGGCACAAAATAATTCACATGTTCCAAGGGTTCAGATATAATGCATATCACATTACTGCAATAGGTCTTGATTTTCTTATTTTCTCTTTAAGTGCTGGAGAATTTTGATGGAGTGAAACTTTTGAATTATCTGTTTTTTTAACTTTTTAATTTTCAGTATATGTTTGTAATATGTAATATTTGTAAAAGTTTTGGTGAATTAGTACATACACATATTATATCGTGATCATTTTTGCTCTCTCCCCTCACCTGCCTTTCTGTTACTGTCTGGTGTTTTGATTGCCCACTAACAGAATCCCTAACTAGACAGAGCTAAATTCCTAAACTGTATCCACTAGTAGCCAGCTGATGAGGACCACAGGGTCAAATGTTAGGACAGCTTGCAGTTATTCCATCTCCAACTGAGTGGAATGATTATGATTTGATTTCTTTTGTTTAAAAATAAGTATAAATTCTTTTATCCTGGCAGCACATCTCAAACACTCCAGTGTCTGCCTCTCCACAGAAGGTTTGAGATTTCAGATTAAAGCACAAAAACAGCCTGTAATCCCAGCACTTGGGAGGCTAAGGCAGAAGGATCATTGCAAGTTTGAGACCAGCCTAGGCTACAAAGTGAGCTCAAGGCCAGCCTGAACTGCACAGAGAGACCCTGTCTCAAAAAGACAAAAAAAAAAAAAAAAAAAAACAAACAAACAAACAAAAACCAGTATTGAGCTAAAGTGATCCGAAACATTTTTATCAGACTAATGATTGTACATCACTGTAGAAAATAGTGACTTAACCCCTCCCTTCCTACTAACTAGGATAGGTGGGAAAAGCAGGGACAAATACATGGTTTACAGTCTATTTAATTCCTGATTTTAGGCCTGCATCATACTCTTGCCTTCAAATTCAGCTGGTGATTCAGATTTCCAAGCCTCTGTGATCTACAAGACAGAATGGTTCTTTTCTCTTCCATCTTCCAGTTATATTTTTTAGTAGAGGCAATCCTGAGGGTTTGAGGGGTGATGTGGTACAGCAAAAAGAATATGGAAGTAAAGCGGGTGTGTTAGTACGTACTGTCACACATCTATACTCCCAGCTCTCTGGTATACGCTGAGGCAGGAAGATCATAAATTAGAGCCCGGTCTGGGGAATTTAGGGACTTAGTGAGACCCTGTCTCAAATAAAGCAGGGGTAAGAGGGGAGACTGGGGAATGTTGTTCAACATAAAGACTCCTAGGTTTCAATTCCAATACTGCAGATAAGTAAAATAAATAAAAGTAGAAGTACCTGCTACTGCCTTGAATTTGGAAAAGTGATGGCACTTCTCCAGGCCTCTTTCCCCATCTAACTGAACAGATTCCCACAGTCACTCTGGCTTGGTAGTAGAAGCATCTCTTCTTCTCACCCATCACTAAACAAACAGCTGGGGCCTTTCTATTCAGAGGTGAGCCAGGAGGTTCCTTATGGCAGAAAGTCCTTGACGACTCAGAACACTGAATGCCCCTAGCAGAACTTATGCAGGCAGCCAGAAGACATAAATAGCTATGAACCACGTCGAAGGGCCTGTGAACATGGTGTGCTTTATTGTGATAGATGGTAGACCTCAGCCCAAAAGAGGCTGAATCCAAATAGGCACTCAGGGAAAGCTGCAGAAGGGGCCATGTCATCACACTTTTTCTTTAAGAAATTTCTTTGACCTGACAGGATAAAGAACATACTTCCTCCCTAGATAGGTCCACATTGGCCAAAAGTGTGATACCTGGACCACAAGTATGTATCTGAGGGCTCTGGGGTTAGAGAAGTTAAAAAAGGCATGTCCAGAGGTTAAAAGTTTGTATCCAGAGCTTAAATCAAGCTCTGCCTCACAAATTGTTCCCTTGTGCCTTACTCAGAGACAGAAGATTATTGATCAGCAAACAGGAGGCTTATTAGGGAGCATTCTCAGGACTGACTCCTGTGGGGGAATAGAAGGAAGCAGGACTGGGCAGAAGGAGAAGTTCGGGCGCAGACACCTGGAGCTGTGGCAGACCTGGAGGGGATCTGTGAAGCTGGATGGCTATCGGGGCAGAGGGGCCAAGGCTTTACCTTCCTTGCACTGACCAATCATGGGTGCTTGCTACTGCAGGGATGGGGAGGGGAAGGCAGCACTGTTCAGTTGAGGACAATTCCTTAAGAAAGCTAACAGCTATGACTGAGCAGTCTGAGCCTTACCCAGTAGTGGGGAGATAGTCCTATAGGCCTGAAGGGTGGACCTATGCACAATTTGCCACAGTATCCTATGATGCTATGCAGATCATGACATTTTGTATGAAGCTCCATAATGTTTAGATCTCCTTATATTTCAAATAAAATTGTCCCTCCAGGAAAATGGGCCATATTTATCCAGTGACTTGAATTCCCTAGCACATCGCCCATACTGGGATCACAGCCTACACAGGTTTGAGGAGCACTGCCACACTGCATTCACAAGCAGAGCATGCTTTTAATACTGCAGTTCTTGGCTTTGACTTGCTTCTAAAGTTCTGAGAGTAGCCTTTTCAAGACACTGGTGTGCATCTTCTTCTGTGGAAGACTTAGCAGAAGAAGGTGAGTGGAGCCATCTTCCTCTAGCTGCAGCTCATCATGGAGCACAACTGAGGTCGCCATCCTTTCCTTCTTCCATCCATATGTGATCCCTCTTATCCTCCACCAGTACCTCTGATGACCTAGGTGGCTTATGTGCTGAGGGCCCTAGACCTCTACTTTTCAGGCTAGGGATGCTGAATTTGTTCACTTAGTATCAAAACTGGGCAAGAGACTATCATGACACATTGTTTCCCATCCTTCTGTGTGGTAGCAGCCTGCTTCCTTCCTGGTAATCAAGCTTGCCTGCTGATTCCTTGGCATAAGGAATGTCTGATACACAACGCCTGCTAGTACATTTCCTTCTGCTGGCATAACATTCCATTTCCTACCAGTAAAACATTTTGCAGTCTTAGAGCTTCCCTGTGTCAGAGGCTGTTTCTGCTCCTCTGTTGGGGATAGGTCCTCATTATTATGTTGGGTGACCCAACTCCCAAATACTTTCTTAGCATCTACTCTTTCTGGTCATCTCTGGCACTAGCTGTTTTGTGGGTTCTTGAAAAAAAAAAACTGAGTTGCAGGAAGTTTACTGGATAAGTGCTATGGGGGCCCACATTTATGGGCAGAATGAAGGAAGCAGGACGGGACCGAGGGAGAAATCACACTGCAGTGGATGCCAGGATGGTGTGTCTCAAACAGGGATTGATCAGTAATTGTACTAGTGGCTAGTGTGGATCGTTGCTTCAGTTGTACTGAAAGTTAAAACTTAGACATCAGCATGAATTCACAGCAAGAGTTTTAATTAAAATGTTTTTTAAATTGAGAGGAAAATCTGATGAGGACGTAGCTCTAATGGACAGGAGCAGACTGATTTGTTAGCAAAGGAAGTAAGAAAATAGGGTAGGGACTTCTACAGGAGGAAAGAGCTAAAAGGGCCACAACTCTGATCAATCTGGTGCATTAACAACCCTTTCTCTATCCCTTATCTTGTATCCAGGGTTCCCACCCTTATGGCGAGTAGCACCACACTCAGGGTGAGGCAGCTTAATCCTAGCATCACACCAAGAATCAATTCCAGTGCCATACACCCTAGATCCAGCCACCTCCTAAAAGCCCCACCTATCACCATGTGAGGCTTTGGTGGACATCTAGATACAAGCCATAACATTTGGTATATTGGTTGTCTTCAGTCTTCAACGGAGATGAGCTCGGCTAGATAAATTTAGGGGTAATAAACCTTACATTACCAGTTTTTAGACAGAGACTCCTTAAATGATAATATGTCTATATGTACAGCTGAGCATGGATCTGATCCAAAGTTTTAAGGTAATAGAGACAGACACAAAACAAAGGCAAAGATATCAAGCTTTAATCCTGTTTATAACATCTATAGCCCTAGAGTCATCATTTTAGCAAAAGCAGCGTTTAAATCCCTGATCACCCCAGAAGAAAACACAATGCATTTTTTTTAATGAGTAAGTAGGATAATAGTCCTGGAGTTTGTTTCTCCTCTGTCGCTCTGTGTTGATCCCAGCAGTTTTCTCATCTAGCCTGTTCTTGGAGACACTACAGCCAAAGCATCCTGGTTTTCATGATGCATCTGGTTTTTGAGGGCTGGTACACTGTTCAGAAGAATGAAGGGGTAGAAAACACACTCAATGCTTTTACAGGGTAATGGGTCTTGAGTTAAGGCCTGGGGCTGCACCTGCCCTTTGTCCCTGTGGTGGTCTCTGTTTGTTGGATACTAGCTGTCCTAGGAAGGTAAGAGGTTGGCCAAGGGTCTTTTTTCTGCCACAGCAGGGGATCGTGGGGTTGGGGCAGGTAGCATAAACACTGTGGCCTTCACAGGAGACCTGGACAGCACAGCAGTGTCTATGACAGTTTCTTGCAATGTCGCCAATCAGTTGTGACACTGGTATCTACTCTAAAGAGATCTTTTCCAACTGAGATGGAAGGAAGGTTGGCACACTATATTCCCACAAGGTCTCACCCTTTCCCCTATGGAGAAGATGAAAGAAAAAGGTATATTTTATGATGAAACTTACTTGATTATCAAGGTAGAGCACTGCCATCCAGACTGCCATCTAGACTGTTTAGAAAACAGGTGACCTCTCATAAGAAATCTTATATCTGCCACACAGATTTAACAATGAGGAATCTGTCCTAGTTTGTTGTCTGAATGGAGCCACATTAACAACTAAATAAGATAGGATCCACTCAGATGTACCTAAAAATGTTGGCCCAGTGCCCAATCTCTGATAGGTGTTTAATTACTACCTGTTGAAGGCCGGAACACCTGGGAGTGCTTAAACTGTTTCATTATGTAGGGGAACTACCCCTACATGTTACTTTCTTTTTCTCTAGAATTCTTTTTTTTGGGGGGCGGGGGTAGGGGTGGGGCTGGGGGGCTGGGGAGGTGGTTACCAGGGATGGAACTCACGACCTTGTGCTTGCCAGGCAGGCACTTGTACTGCTAAGCCAAAGCCCCGGCCCTGTAGAATTCATTTTTAAAACATTTCTATTAGTACAGTTTTGCATGCAGTACATAATGATTACATTCACTGTGGGTAGTTGGTTCATGCTCATAACACACCTTAATTCTTTATACATTCTCTTCCCCTTCTTTCTAGAATTTATTTTCAATAATTTGTACAGTATTTTCTAAAATTGTCCCCTTCATCTGCTTTTTAAGTATAAGTCACAGGAGAGTAAAGCTCTTATTTTTCTGGCCTGCTGCTCTGTCCCTAGAATTACCACAAACCACAGCACGGCTTCCAGTGAATATTTGTTATATGAATGAGTGTGTGTGGGAAGAAGAATTATTTTGGAAAAATGAAGGAAGAATTTATCGCACTCCTAATAATGATTCATTGCTTTCAGGTTACCTTTGGCCTTTCTCATTCAAAACATCCACGAAAAAGAGCGCATTGGCAAAGCAGTTGGAGCAATTAGTGTAACAATATTTTAAAATATCATCACATAAGGGGCATAGCAGGGGATTCTGATCTTCTATGATGTTCTAGCTATGATCTTTCTCTGTAAACTGACTGCCGTAGTTGAGACACTCCTCTGGGTTTTCTGACCCTTTTTCATTTCAGTGTTTCATCAGGAATGAATGAAGAATCCAGCGTGAGCCAGCGATGCGCTCCTCCCTGCAGAAGCGTCTTTCTTCACATTGAAGTTTTCACATGCTACACTGGAGTGCAATTCCCAGGCCACGTTTTTCAGTGCCCACGGAACATGCCCAGCCACAGTTCTGGGCCTTGTCGCAGCGCCCCCTGGTGGCAAACAAGAAGGACGGCTCCCGCGGACCCCAAGTCCCTGGAGGGTTCGAAACTGTTGAAACTGTTGGGAATGATACCAATTCCATCCTTGGCCCGGGGGGCCCTCTCGAGCAATCCGCCCTTTCTGGGCCATGGAGAAGGCATTCAGAAAAAGCAAAAATGGTAACTGGGGAGCTGGAAAAGGGCGATGCCTAGGTCCCAAAACTTCCTCACTTTTTCTCCTTTGTAAAATGGGGCTCTGACACTCTTGGCGTTGGGAGACAACCTTTTGCCACTGATTATCAGGGTATCATTTTCTTGCAGTGAGCCCCGCCTTCCGTGGTAGTGGATAGGTCTAAGTGTCGACACGCATTTTCTAAGGTTGAACCCCACCACAATCAAGAGAAGCAGCCCTTCCATCACCCCCCAAATTACCCTGCAGCCACTTGCTTGGGGGCCAACTCTTCCCCTGCACATTAGTCTTTGTTTTCCTGGCGTTTTGCCTTTCCCATGCAAAATGTAACAAAGATGGAATTATGAACGGAGCTTCTAGAGTCTTATTTTACTGAAGCCCGCTGTCTTTTGAAACTAGGCTTCACTGAGTATAAGCTGAAGCTGGAACCCTACCCTGCCTCAAATGAGTATGCTCAGGAGCCCTAGGCTCAAAGAGAGCGTAGTCCAGCCCTAAACTGCTCTGCTAACCCTGGTTTGAAGACCGCATCTTCTTTATGTTGTCATTTTGTTTTTCAACCAGTTTGTGCGGTTTCAGGGAAGGTGAGGTTGGAGATGGCCAAGGCCATCAGCTTTGAGCAAAGGGTGATAAACCCTAGCAGCTCCGCAGAGCTGAGCAAACCTCTCTCAGCAGTGGCCCTGAAATCACCGCAGTCACACGGACGTGGCAAATTTCTGGCAAGTCGCACTAAGCCACTCATCCTTGTGGAAGGAGTTGTATAATAGAACGCTGGAAACAGTTCTCTTCAGAAACTTCCTATGTGCTGAACAAGAAACCTTCTGGAAGCTTCCTCATACGAAAATCATTTGTCCTAAATTACTACTTAGGTGTCAGTCTTTTCTTGTGAGATTTGGTTCTGTAGAAAGCATGCTGCAACCCCTTCCATGATCCATTGTCCCCAAAGCCTTCGGGTTTTCCTCCCAAATGCTTTTCGGATCTATCTGCTGTCCATTTGCACCGTCACTGCCATGACATGCTTGGGTGACTGCAGTGCCCTTTTCATTTCCCAATTCCAGTCTGCACTCTGTAATCCACACAGCATGAAGCAGCCAGAGGTTTCATTTTATTTTTGTTTTAAAAGCAAACCGATCATGTCCAGTTCTGGCACAGCCATTAGGCTTCCTGCCTGCTCCCCCTACTCAGCTCCTCCTCGCTCTCAGCAGGGCTTCCTGTCTCAGCATCTTGGTACCCTTTGCTCTTCCCATCCTCCTCTGTATAAATATTTCCTACTGATCCTAAAGCTCGAATTCATGTCTGTCCCCTCAGAGAAGCTTGATTTACCTTCCTCTGACAAGACCCTGGCCCCCTGTTACTCAGTCTCAGAGTTTTCTTTCCTTTTTTCTTTTTTTGTCTTTTTTAAAGTCAGGGTCTCACTCTGTAGTCCTTGAACTCCTGATTCCTCTGCCTCAGCCACCCAAGGGCTGGGATTTCAGGCATGTACCACCATGCTTAAAAAGATCCTGTCCTTTTCCTTCATAGTTGGTTATTGTTTGGTATCTATTTCCATAACAGACTGATAACTGTCTCTTCCACTGGGTTGTAATACCCTAGGGGCAAGAAACACTTCTCTTTGTCATACCATGGTAAACACAGGGGCTAAACACACTGTCTACATCAGATGGTTTTCTTTTTTTTTTTTTTTGGTGCCGGGGATCGAACTCATGACCTCGCACTCCCCAGGCAGGCACTTACACCACTGAGCTAAATCCCTGGCCTGTTTGTTTTTTGAGACAGGGCCCTGCTATGTAGTTCAGGCTGGACTTGAACTCAATATGTATCCCAGGCTGACCTAAACTTGTGATGATCCTGCTGCCTCAGCCTCCTGCATGCTGGGAGTACAGGTGTGCACCTTCATTCCCGGCATGCCTACATCAATTAAGTATTTAAGTGGCTGATTAATAATAACTGATATTGATTAAGCAATCATGAATATACCAGGCACTGTGAAAACGCCCTTTAATGGTCTCATTTTGTTCTCATAGCATTTTTTTTTTGAAATAGGGTCTCATTGTGTAGTTCAGACTGCCCTTGAACTCACTATGTAGTTAAGGCTGGCTTCAAACTCCAGCAATCTTCCTGCCTCCGCCTCCTAAGTGCTCTATCACACCCAGCTGCATTTGAAAAAAACTATCCATAGGGAGGTTTGTAACTGTCCCAGCAGTCTGGCTTTAGAACCCCAAGCACATGCTTCTGTGTCCATGACTGAAACAAGTTCCTCTTTCTCTCTCTCTCTTTTAGAAAGACGAGGCAGGCTAAAGCTCAAGCCTTCTGTACACAATCTGAGCAAAACAAAGCAGACCAAGCTCACTGTGGGCAGCCTGGGATTAGGCTTGATCATCATCCAGCATGGGCCCTATCTCCAGATTACCCACCTCATCAAGAAGGGGGCTGCAGCCAGAGATGGGAAACTCCAGCCAGGTGACTGTGGTTCCCCATGCCTCCCTCCAGTGTGCCCTCAAGGAGTCACAGGGTGTCAGTGCAGCCAGTGATTGAGGATCACAGTGATATGATAAGAAGCTGCTGGTTGAGAACTTTATTTATTTATTTATGTATTTATTTTTGAGATAAGGTCTTGCTATGAAGTTCAGGCTGGCTCTGATCTTGCTATGTAGACCAGGATGGCCTCAAATTCACAGAGATCCTCCAGCCTCAAGTGCTGGAATTACAGGCGCCACCACATCCAGCAGTTGAGAATTTTAAATGTGTCAATCAATTGCTATGACTTATCTAATTCTCACTGTGGGTTTGGGAGTTAATTCCTATAATGATCTTAATTCTTATAATAATCTTCTAGGTAGGAACTGTTATCATTCCCTTTTTACAGGTGAGGAAACTGAGAGTGAGTTCTTTATCCAGGTCCCCCTGCATCTTATTCATGACATACAAACACAGGCTCAGTGTAACTCCAGGGTTTATGACTCTGTTAAAATACACATCTTTTCATAGGCAGTATTAACCATCACTACCATTTGGATGCATGATCTCATGTTACCCTCCTGACAATGCCAAGTGGTAGATTGTGCATCAGACCACCTAACACACAAGGACTTAGGTATTCAGCAATTTGTCCACAGTCCATTAAAGAGATTGGATTTGAACCCTCTGGATTAGCCTCCAGAGCACAAAGGTTTTACCAGTAGCATCTTGTTTTTCTGTCATAGGGCAAATGTCTTTTCTTTTCTCTCTTGTTCTATCTTTCTTTCTTTTTGTTTTTTGAGACAGAGTCTCATTATGTAGTTTGGGTTTGTCTTGGACTCATTATGTAGCGCAGGCTGGCCTTAAAGACAGAGATCATCTGTTTCAGACTCCCAAGTCTGGGAATGCAAATGTTTACTACCATACCTGGCTCTGGGTAAATGTATTTTCTATCTGGTTCAAGATGTTCTTTCCTACCTTGGGCCTGGTGCTGTGCTCAGGCATAGGGAAGGTACAGTAGGTGATGACATAGTAAAAGGAAAAAACATTTGAGGTTAGCTGACCTGAATTCAGGTCTAGAATCTCTTGCTTTTTAGTTCTGTGTCCCTGGGCAAAGTCATATAATCTTCTAGGCCTTAGTCACCTCATCTCTAAATTGGAGAACCATATTTTTGTCAGAGATTGCTGTTATTTGATGAAATAATTTTGATGAAAATCTTTGAAAACTCAAGTATTTTAGAAATATTTGCAATTATTTCTCTAGACTATTTTTAAAATTATTTAAAGAGAATAAAACCACATGAAATAAAAGAATAGAGCCAATCAAAGCAAAACAGTGAAAGTGATATAGGACTTTGAAATAAGATAATAGGAAATCAACTATGGCTACCATAATTAATGCCTCTTGTTATCTTCAAAATAGTTGCTCATACCATCAGATATAATAAAATCAAACAAAACAGAATAAAACTAGTCAAAACAAAACAATGAAAGCAATACAGGACTTCAAAACAAGATAATAGGAAATCCACAATGGCTACCATGATATATATTGTTATTTTCAAAATAGCTGCCCATGCCATCAGACATAACAAAATCAAATAAAACAAAACAGAAGAAAAACCAAACCAAACCAAACACAGAAAATAATATAAGATTTAAAAATAATAGGGAATTAACAATGGTTACCTTCAGAAGGATATCTCCCATAGTTGCTATATTGTATATTCCTCCAAATAGATGATCAAACTACCAGCTTTAGACCTGCAAAGTCAATCAAACAATACAGGCATTAACTTGTTTTTTACTTCAGTAGCTATCCTCTCAGCCTGTGTTTGTCCAAATCAGCCAGTTGCCTACCCAAGATGTGGGGAAGGTTTGGAACTTCTTGTCTCCCAGCCTATGCACTGGCTGGCTCACAGGAAGCAGTTGGCCTGGCCCACAACTGTTGCTGGCTCACAGAAAGGTGTTAGCTTCTTTTTGGCTCTCTTTCTGGTCCACATGGCTGCTGCTGGCTCACAAGAAGGGGTTAGCTTCTTGTTAGTTCTCTTCCCAGAATGCATAGCTGCCTCTAGCTCACAGGAAGGGTTGGCCTGGCCCACAACTCTTTTTTTTTTTAAACATTAAAAATGATTGTGATAGACAGCCAGGTATGGGGGCACAAGTCTGTAATCCCAGCACTTGAGATTCTCCTTAAGCAGGAGAATCACTGTGAGTTTGACACCAACCTTGGTTACATAGTGAATTGAAGGCCAGCCTGGACTACATAGCAAAACCTTGTCTCAAAAAACAGAAAAAACAAATAAACAAACAAAAAGACTGTGATATAGTACTCCCAGATACCCTGGTTATCTATTAGAATCACCTGGGGAGCTGAAGACCAGAACACTTGGCCCCATCTCACCTGAGGTCCTGATTCAAATTGTGTGGGTTAGGGGAAGGGTAGTTCATGATTTAGAAGCTTCTCAGGGGGGCAACCCATGCCAGACCCCCCCCCCATCATTCAGGAGCTATTCCTATTCCCCATTCCTTTTCTCCAATACATTTTTCTACTCTTAAAAAAAAGAAAATAAGAAACAATAAAAGTTTCTCAAGGGACTGTAATTTGCAGCCAGAGTTTGAAGCAACAGAATTAAACAAGAATGTTCATAAATGATACTATTATGAAACAATTTGTCTTATCTTAACACTGAAAGCATTTTTCTCTGCATTTAACTATAGCAGAATGTGCCCCCTCCTCCCCTAGGCAGTATACTTTAGTTTGTTAGTTGCCTAGGTAATAGTTCTTGTTACAGTTCCTGTTACTTTTGTTTCTTAGAAACAGCTGGTTACTGTGATACATATTGTAAGAACCAATCCCCAACTGACAAGCTATTCTGCCTCTGTACTTCCTGCTTGCTTAGCCCATATAAACCTTACACTACCAGAGATCAGGGCCTAACACTGATTCCTAGTCAGTGCCTCTCCAAAGTTAAAAAAAAAAAAACTGCCTCCAAATCCTGGGTGTTGTTTTGGTGTTTTTATTTGCTGCTGCATCACTGCGTGGTGCTGGGAGACAAACTGCCAGGAAAGTTCTAGAGTTCCCAGATTCTGTGAATCAGCTTTCTATCACTGTGACAAATACCCACAATTTATAAGAAGGAAATATTTATCCTGGCTCCTGGTTCAGACCGTGGTGGGCTGTGTCTGTTGCTTTTGGGTCTATGGCAAGGTATCACATCATGGTGGGAGCCTAAGAAAGACCTTCATCTTTCAGCAGCCATGAGGCAAAACAGAGACAAGAAGGGGATGGAGTCCTGAAGTTCTTTTCAAGGACACCCTCCCACACACAATATGATTCAACTTCTTGCCCCTGAGCCCCACCCCCTAAAGATTCTATAGGACCTCTTGGTAGTTGCATGGTCTGGGGGTCAAAATTTGGCACTTGAGACTTTCAGGGCACTCCTAACCAAACCATACCACAGAAAGCAAAAGCTCCAGGACAAGTCCCAGCCGCTTTTCTGCACTTCTCAGCTTTGTTGGAGTCAGATGACAAATGTTGGTTTTTCCACAGTGCTAGAGTGAGATATTAGACTGGTTTAAGCCTGTGACACAGCCGATAGGTAGGGTTTTAATTAGTGGACTCTTTGAAGTTAGAAGCTGTCTTGAACTCACCTTTATATGTTCATGTTTCATATACAAACAGGAAGTCGTTATCTCAGCCATTATACAAAGTATTTCCATAAATATTATGGAATTAAATGTCTGCAACATTCCTGGAATGTAGATTATCAAATAAGGAAGCTTAGAGAGATGAAATAATTTGTTCAATATACACACCTAAGTCTGTGATCAGAGCTGAGATTTGAACTTATGACTGCCTGGAAACTCCATAACTTTCTAGCCAACAGCTTAATAACTAGAAGTAAGATTTCAATAAAGAATGAGTCGAGAGCTGCAAATCTTTTCATGATAAACCACCTTTCAGCCTCTGTATTTTTGATAATTACCACTAGAGGTGGGAGGTGGTAATTGTGGAAATCTAATATTTCTTTGATCTCATTGGTTCCGAGTGCCATCTTTAACCTCATGTGTTTTGAAAGCTCTCTCCTTTGGTATTTCGTGATAGAATTTCATAGCTTAGTTCAGCGTTAGTTTATTTTGGCTAGGCTTTAAATTCTTCTTAGCCAGTGTGGTTTTAATAGACGCTCATGTCCAAAGTCTTAAGAAATTAATATAAGGCCAGGGATATAGCTCAGTGGCATAAGCACTTGCCTGGCAAGCACAAGGTCCTGAGTTCAGTTCCTGGTACAAAAAAAAATTAATATCGCTTTATTCATTTAATTATATTTCCTGAATGTCTGCTTTGTGCAGGCTCCCTGCTAGGCACTGTGGGTATAGTGGGAAGCAAAAGAGATGGGGGCTCTAGCCACATGGAATTTATGCAATTTATAGTCTAGTTGAGGAAGGAGAAAAAAAATAAATGTCTCTTTTTTTTAGTGGCATGGCTGCTGCAAAGTTGATCTAATGTAGATAACTGAGACAAAGTAGATATAATGTCATTCCCATACCCATTCAAACAGAAAAAAGATGCATAATGAGGTTGGTGTTTATAAATATCAAACCGGTGTCTCTCTGTGAAGGGTGACGTTAATAGCTATTTGCTAGAATAATCACATTCATATGCTGACACCTTTGGTTTACAGCCAGAATGGTCAGGGAATTAAGTTGTTTATTTTCTGCTCTCTTGATAAAAGTCACCCTTTTACAACATAATTAAGCAGAAAGCCAAGCAATAGCTTTCAGCTGTAAACACGGCTTTAAACATTAGGCATGTATGCTCCTCTAGAGAAGGACTTCTCCTCACTGTAATTAACCTCAGTAGGAAGAACTGCTGTTTCAGGTAGCTGGAAGAAGCCTTGGTTCATTCAAGAGTTACCTTCAGATAGATGTTTGATTTTTATCCTTGGCTACTTTTAAAAACTGAAATAGAGGTTTTTCTTCATCATTGCAATTATTCACTTTCTGCAATAATGGAAACTTTTGTTTCTGATAGAATCTAGCAGAAATCTGTGGAAGTCTATCCATGGCATTCTTTGGTTCTTGTTTGTTTTTTGAGAAAGGGTCTTGCTATGCAGTTCAGGCCAGCCTTGAACTTTGTAGCCCAGGTTGGACTTGAACTCACGGTTATCCTTGAACTCATGGTTATCCTCCTGCCTCAGCCTACTGAGTGCAGGGATCACAGGTATGTGCCAGCAATCCTCACCCCATGGCATTCTTTGGAAGATTCCTTGGCATCAGTGTAGTCCTCTATTTTACCCCATTAGGGTATAGTATCAGAGAAAGGTATTTCTCAACCCTTCTCTCCTTGGAATGATGGTGATTTGGGGTCCCTAGTTTCTCAAACACAGGGAGATGGACCAATCCTTTATACCTTCATCTGACACTTTGACCCACGTCAGCTGTAAAATCCCCATTACCATTTGGCAGGACATCAGTATTAAGCTCAGATGACTATGATTTTGCCTAAAATGAATCTGTCCTTAAAAACACAATCTTTTTTAAAATTCCTTCCTCAAAGTGTTTGCTTAGGGTTCATCACTTCAAGTAACACAAAACAGTTCTGGCACTGAATTTAGGACACCAAGTCTGACAGGGTTGCCAGAAAAGCTGCAGCAGCAGGCTTGGAAAATGGAGAGAGGCAGGCTTGGAAAACGGAGAGAGCAAACAGCTCTGTGTAACCACTCCTGAAAACCGAGTGCTGTTGTCATCCTCAGTATCTCCTGTTCCAGGTTCAGTGACCCAGAAGGCAGTGCCTGGAGGCTGGACCTAGTTTACAGGTTGATGTCCTAGCTACTGGGGTAGAAAGTGGGGGATGTCGGCAAGAGTGAATACATGTAATTGGTCATTTTAGCTTTCTCCATTTTGGAAGTCCAAGTATTTGTTCCCAAGGTGGTGTCTTCTTCCCACCAGTTCTGTGGCTAACTGTCAGGCTTTCCTTCCTATCCAGTACTGACCTAAAAGTAGGGAGTCTAGCTGTCAGATTCCTTTAAACCAGTGTACTCTGCATACACATCTTAAGCATAATTAAAGCAAGCTAATTGCCCAATGTTTCATACAGAATTATTTCTCCAAGTAATTCTGTATAGGAGCTGCAAATTAAAATGAAAGGCTTGATGTTTAATACAGGCCATTTACTGTGAAGGGCACTAGAAATTGCCAGGCAGGTATAATAGAAAGCAGGTCATTTATAAATCACTTAGTCTAAGTGGTTTTTTTCTTTGCTAGTAACAGACATTCATTTTCTTTGAAACTAGTATTTTTTTTTTTTTAGAATCCTAAAGATCAGTTGAGAGTACAAATGGATTTTAGCCTGTTACACTAAGTTTCAGAGATGTCTGAAAAACATAGGCCTATCTTCCACTGCCCTGCAATTAAGAAGCATCTCACAAGCATTCTTCATTATGCGAAGGACAATCAGGTCAAAGAAACTATCTTGTTTTAATGGTAGGTAGTGTGGAGAATTGAATTCATGGAGTGCAGAGCCACATCTCTAGCCCTTTTTAAATTTTATTTTGAGTTGGGGGGTCTCCGTATGTTCCCCAGGTTGGCCTTGAACTTGCAATCCTCATTTCTCAGACTCCCAGGTAGCTGCACAAGCATGCACCACCATTCCGCACCAAGATGAACATTTTAATAAAGGATTTAGACTAGTTTTGGTTCAAAATAAATGCCCTGAAATAAAGCTAGAAATCAATATGGCCCTTTTCAACTCATTATTTTAATTTTACTGATAATATTTTTCTTCTTTTAGGTGATGTTCTGATTAGTGTTGGTTATGCCAATGTGCTAGGTTACACGCTTCGGGAATTTTTAAAGCTTCTGCAACACATCACCATAGGAACAGTGCTACAAATTAAGGTTTATCGAGATTTCATTGACATACCCCAAGAATGGCAAGAAATATATGATTTAATTCCTGAGATACAATTCCCAGTAACATTTGGGTAAGTACCTAATTTTAGGAACTCTGTTACAATGCAGAGCCTATGACCTGTGAATCACAGGGTCTTGGTTTACTGTTTAAATGGTAAGGACTCTGGGAGGAGGGATTGGTGCCATTGCCAGAGTAACTTAACTGTTAGATCCTTTTGGAAAAGATAGTCAGCAGGATCTCACGAGGCAGCGTGGCAGAGACAACTTGGAATTAAAAGTAATTCACAGTCATTGGTGAGAGCTCTGTCCCCAAGCCTGCTGCACTGGGTCCTTCTTCCAGTCAGTTCTTAAGATGTGCGCTTGCACTGGTAGCTTCTCCCTTGAATCCTTCCTAGTAATATGGAGCTCCTGGAAGTCACTCTCCCCAAGCCTACCCTTTTTCCCTACCCTGTCCAGCGCTGTATCATCCCTTGGCTCCCCTCCCAACTTGTCAAACAGCTGTACTGACATCTTCATTTCCTCAGGAGGCGCTGCTGCTGGGTCACTCTTGAGTCCACCTCCACATAGACTTCGCTTTTGTGCCTCACCTGCAGGTTCTTCTTGGGATTGCCCACAGCCTTCATACTGATTCCAACGACTTCTCTGCATTTACTTTGCACAGCTTCTAAATATCATTATACTTTACAACTATCCCTCCACCCCTACCTCTGACATTTCCCCCAGGCTTCTGTGATGCTACACACTTTTTTTTTTTTTTTTTTTCTGGTGAGACAGGGTTTGGCTATGTAGTTCAGGCTGGCCTATGTAGCCCGAACTGACTTTGAACTCAAGGTTATCCTTTTGCCTCAGCCTTCTGAGTGCTAAGATTACACGCATGTGCCACCATGCCTGGCTTGTGATGCCACACTCTCCTACTTATTACGTCAGGCTAGTTCCTCTTGTTTTTTTGTTTTTTTTTTTTTGTCTTTTTCCTTTTTATCGGTACCAGGGATTGAACTCACGACTGCCTACTTTCAAGGCAGGCGCTTATGCCACTGAGCTAAATCCCCAGCCCCTCCTCTTGGTTTTTCTACTCAACTCAGAGTTCCTTAAGGTTTAGTCCTTGGCTCTTAGTCTGTCAGGCAATCGATTTCATTGATGCTTGTAGTTTCTATTACTATCCATACATTAATTAGTATCAAATTGTACTATCTCCAAACTTGTATCTTGTGTATTTAAACATTCACTCCATATTTTCATTTGCACGTATCTTAAATCTCTCAAACTCTTTAGCTTAAGAATGAAAGCCAGCTCACCAGTGATTCTGCAGTGGTGCGTGCGTTACTGGAGATTGATCACAGGACTCTTGCACTGAGGTACAACATCCCTAGTTTCAGTAAGTTGCCCAGGCAACTCAAAACTTGCAATTCTCTTGCCTCAGCCTCCCAAGTGCTGGGAAAACAGGTATGGGCCACCACACCTGGCTGTGACCCTTCTTTGGGGAAGTGTTTACTTACTTAACAAGCTAAATATTTAAGGTTGTGCTTGATTTTTCCATCTGCTCTTCATCCCCTCAACCAGTTACTAAGACTGGTCATTTTACTTTCTATCTTCTCGCATGTGTATACTTCTATTTCTGGCTGTCACCAGCCCCAGTCACCATTTGATCTCTGTGTACCTACACTTGACTCCGATTCATTCTCTACACAGGTCCTTTTACAATGCAAATCTGATCATGAAATTCTCCACCTTAAGATTTTTATTCTGACGGAAACATGCACCCTTAAATTTTAGGAAACTTTTGGCGGGGTACTGGGGATTGAACTCATGACCTTGCACTTGCCAGGCAGGCACTGTGCCACTGAACTATGTCCCTGGCCCTACATTAAGAATTTTAAGACCTGTTTTTAGAATGAATGCCAAAATCCAGCTCATCTCATACTGCCCCTCATTCCTCTAGCGGTCTCTGGCTTTCCGGCTTCCTGCCTTGTGTTGCTCTTCATCTGTACCATGCGTAAGAGTTCTTTCTCTTTAGTATTCATTCTTAAAGGCTCTTTTCCGAAGGGGCCCTCATCAGGCAGCATTAAACAGCCCCCCATTGTATGCTCCCATGTTGCTCTATCCTTGCTACATTTACCCAATTTTGATTAAATAATATGTATAATCAGTTGTTTACGCTTTCCCCAGGAAAGTATACATTCCACGAAGGTAGGGACTAAATCTGTGCATGGAATGAAACTTGCATGAAATTTTTACAGTAGAGGGCTCACTTACTGGAAGAGTGAATAAAAAATTGGAATCAGCTTCGAATCTCAGACAGATCACCTAAAAATTTCTGAGCTTGTTTACTTATCTGTGCCAGATTTAACTGGCTTCTTCTAAGAATGAGATCCTTTTCCTTAGTGTCAAATTCAGCGCTCCGATATAACAGCAGTCTTTGTCAGATTTCTGAACGCTTAGTTGTTACAGCTATGTGTCTTTGCATATGGAACAGGCTCAAAGAAATACAGCCCATACTTTTTAACTCAGAAACTTAAGACTTGTGGCTAAAGGTCTGACAGAGCTCACAGTTGTGCTTTGCTGGGCTTCCAAAGCCCAGAAGAGAGAGCCTATAGAGACCTATAGAGAGCCAGGACATATGAGCAGCTTAATCAGCAGCAATAAATACTCCATTTCTTGACTTGGATGGTCACCAAGGTGTTTGTTCACACATAGATGAATATACAATATTTTTTCTTCATTAAACTGTTTCTGGCATTCTTCTATATATTTCAAAATTTAAAAAATGAAAAATATTTGTTAGTTGCCAAATTAGCAATTTATAATTGTCAATTTATTTAGAGGATGTACCTTAAAGCCTGAGTTATTAACCATTTGCTTATGTTTGCATTATGCATTTTCAGTGCTAGAGGAAATTCAGAATATTAAAATCTAATATTTTAGATTAGATTTTGAAAAGTCAGGCAGACTGACCTTTCAAAAGCAAAGAGATAAACAGAACAGCACAATTTAAGTACAAGGGTAAAGCCTACAAACTTACAAAACAATACCAAGCACCTTCTAAATTTTTTGAGCAAAGTACTCATAGTTAAGGCATTTTAGTAACCTATGTGGAAGGGGTGAGGGGAAGACTTCTGTCACAGTGAGATCTTTTCCAGCAGCAGATGGCGCAGCGCATAGTGGAGAAGACACTCTGTATAATGCTCTGAGTAGGCCTAACTATGAAACCTTTGTTTCCAGCCAGCCGTGACCTCTGCTGGCTTTGGCCTATCTAATGCCAGTTTAGTAAGTACTCAGCTTCACCATCTGTTCAAAGGTATTAATGATACTTTTTTTTTTTCATTTTTATTGGTACCAGGGATCGAACTCACAACAGCCTGCTTGCAAGGCAGGTGCTTACGCCGCTGAGCTAAATTCTCAGCCCCAATGATACTTCTTAAAGGCTGAAAAAAAAAACTTACATTTTTAATTCTTATTCAGGAAATCCTGAGTTTGTCAGGAAGCAAAGTGTTTTGATCCTGACTTCTTTTGAATATCCCTGCATGGCCCCAAGTCAAGGATAAAGAAAATCACACCATTTAAGTATAATGGCTCTCTGGAAATGACTCAATATTAAAAGAGATAAAATTCAGAAAGACTTAAGTCCTTGGAAGTAAATAAAATAGGCAGATTAGTAAGAGATTGTAACAATAGCAGTCTGACAGGTTGGCAGGGCAGTGGGGGAGAAACCTGTTTCCTGTTAGCGGGATGGAATGTGCCACGTGGCCATAACCTCTCAGATCTAGTTCTGGATCTGCTGAGCAAAGGATGAGGGACAGTAGTGAAGGACAGAATTTGATATGCAAAGTAGTACCACGTATTAAGTTCTGTAGGTACTGGAAAAATCCAGAGGCTCATTCAGGTTTCAACCATCAAGCCAGCTCAGCATGGTGCACACCTATAATCTCAGCACTCCAGAGGCTGAGGCAGGAGGATGGTCACAAGTTTGAAGCTACCCTGGGCCACAAAGGGAGTTTAAGGATAGCTCAAAACACAATCAAACCAACAGTTGGGGCAAATAACAACAAAGTAAACAAAAAGGAACTTGAAAGCTTTTGGACGACAACATACAGGTTGAACAATGAATGTTGAATGCAAGGGTACTGTACAAATCTACATGGGTAAGCCCGGAGAGGCAGAGAATGTTGCTCGGTGGCAGTGTCATGAGAAAAACTCAATGACTTACTGAGGACCATCTTGTTGAAGTTCCTTGAGGCTGTTTCCTGGATCCCATGGCAACTGGTGATCTTTTGTGTTACTGCTACCTAACTTCCTCCCAGAGAGCTGCTGGGATTAAAGGTGTATGCCACTATGCTAAGTTTAAAGGCCTTTTTAAAAATAAAAAACTTTAATGATACCAAAAGGTAGTATTAAAACCGATTTGTATTTCCTTTTATAAACTGAAGCAGGTTGTAAAACATCTTGTCAGGGGACTGTAAGTGTGCCAATACTAAGAATTTATTTCGCTCACTATTCATTTCAGGACACCAAAGAACACTGAGGAGGAAGAGGATTCTGTTACCAGCAGTGATGACAATGAAGATGTAGTTTTAGACAAAAGATTTAAATACAGATATCCTGCAAGGATACCAGTATCCATTTCCAGAAAGTGGCAAGATATTAAAAATAAGGACCACACTATTCATGCTGAAAAAGACCTGAACTTCATGACTCACAGAGAGCAGAAGAAAGAGAGAGCCCCTTCTCCGCCCTGGACAATGTGGAAGCGAGACAATGATAGCTCCTCTTCCTCGGATTCCTCTACTTCAGACGCATTTTGGCCAGAAGACTGGGCCCAAGTTGAGAAGGGCAAAGGTCAACCAGTATCAAAAGTTGGCTAAGCAGCGCTTTGCCAATCTGTGGTCACACAAGCATTAATCTTGAAAACACCCACTTTTTGTTCTTCACTAGGTACAGCTTTGCAGGAATTCTTACAGAGTAAGTATAAATCTATCAATTCTCTTCTAAGCTTTAGAGACATTCAGTGTGATGGTAAAAATTTCCCTGGGGTCTCACAAATCTTCAATATGGTAGCAATAAAAGAGTATCATTATTCAGATCATCAAGGCCCTTTCAGAGAATTTCTCACCTTTTACAAAATGCAGTACAAGAACCCAGTATCTGAATGTCTGAACACAATAGAGAAACTTACTGTGTGAGGTAAATACCAGTCTTACTTAGATATTTGTCTTTTTTGTAAAACGTCGATGTCCTACTTAAAAGACAAAACAAGAGGTGGGGTATGTTGGTGCACACATCTATAGTCCCAGCTACTCAGCAGACTGAGGCAGAAAAGATCACAAGTTTGGGGCCAGCCTGGGCAATTTGGCAAGATCCTGTCTCAAAAGATAAAAAGGCTGGGAAATGTAACTCAGGAAGATCACCTCTAGGATTAAAGGGTTCACAACGGGCTGTCATTTGTATGCCCTCACTGCTGAGTAGTTTGAACCACCAGTGGTACAAGCATGACTGTCTCGCTGGATGGCTTTTTATTAGTAAAAAGACCAGTATGAGTGATTGGTACTACCAGCGGCACAAGCTGTTGGATGGGACAGTCATGTACATTATCACAAAGGCTCAAACTGGCAGGAACACGTTAAAAACAGAAAGTTCTTTACTTTGAATATTGGGCTTACACGGTTAATTATGTGAAACCTACAGGATTAAAACAGGTAAATAAAGATAGTACAGAAAAAAAGCTGCCATAGTGAAGACAGACATAAAATTAAGCAAATGAAGTAATAGGAATAAGGGTATGATGCATAATGAATTTATCAGAAATAACTTTACTACAAAAAACGCAAAAAGGGGATAAAAACCAGACCACTTAACTGCTGTCACCTGAAATGACAGTCTTAACCTGCTTTTATCCTAGAAGTATGGAAATTTTTATTATGATATGCTTAGCTTTAATATTCTCTGGTGTATCTTAATTGATGGTGGATTTATTCAATTATTTTGTCCCTGTCTTCTTTAAAGTTTCTAAAACAAAAGACTCAGCATGTAATAAATACTTAACTAGGAAAAAATGCATGAAAAACATGTAAGCAGAATGTTTTATTGATTCTCGGTCAGCTGGGAATAATTACCTGCATTAAGATACTTTGCCTAATGAGAAAAAAGAAACATTATATTATAGACTTCAGACTTTGATGTATTTGCTGCTCTGGGCCGAGAAAATGTCCAGCTCTTCTGCAGTACTTGCTTTAATATTACAACTCGTCAACAAAAGGTGTATGTCCCAAGTTTCCACTTGCTGCCATTGACTTCTGGCCAGAAACAAATTTCTTTGCAGCCTTTAAATAAAAGAGTACAGAAAGTTAAAAAGAAATAGTATGTATCATCAAGGAGATAAACTTGTCATTTCAAGGCTTCACGGATAGAACACTCTATGCCAATAATTCTTTAAAGCCGCTTGTGAAAATCAACTGTGAGATGGATAGTGCTTTATGTGAATATGAATATTCCATCATATGTGTAACCAACACATATTTTAGAGTAATTTTCTAGATAACAGGGTAGTTGTTGAAAGGTGGATAAGGAAATTCTCACTGACCCTGCAAAGCAGGGCAGAGCAGAGTGATTCAGGCAGGGCTCTAGTTATTTCTGTATTACAATGGCAACAGTCTGGGTCAATCAAAACACTGTATAATAACTGCTAAGTTAAAAAAGACAAGTTTCATACTCTGGTATTCCTTATGTCATTATTTCAAGTTCAAAGACCAGCTGTTTAAGTATAATACCACAACGCAAGTCTAGGTAAAGTCGGAGCCCCCATAATAGCTCAGGCCAGCTCTTTCTGAGGACAGATGGTGGTAGAAGCAGCTGAGTTTAGGACTAGTATCATCCTAGTACTATGAAGACAGCCAGTTAGAAGAGGATATACTGACGAACTTAAGGGCCAATTGAAGTCAGAGTTTTTGCCTTGTCTCTTTTTTCTGTTATCTTTACACAAGGATGATAAGATAGTTGAGACATCTGTAGTATACATAACTGTAGAAAAGACTTGGAAAACACTGACTTTAGATATATTCCATAGTTCATATGTTTATTAGACACAGTAGGAAATACAAAGTAGTATAGTGGACCCTTTTTTATTTTTATTTTTTTATCGGTACCAGGAATCAAACTCATGACTGCCTGCTTGCAAGGCAGGCGCTTATGCTGCTGAACTAAATCCCCAGCCCAGTGGGGCTTTTTAAAAAAAATTTTTTTTATTGTTTGGTACCAGGGATTGAACTCATCATGTCTGCATGCTTCCAAGGCAGGTGCTTATGCTGCTGAGCTTAGTAGATCCCTGACTTATGAACTCTATTCGTTCCTGAGGACTGGTTATAACTCTAATCATCAACTGAAGGCTCAGGTTTCTCCACACACCCTTCATTATCTCTCTCCTGTATACAAGCAGATCTCAATGTCCTTAAGAGACACTGGCCTAGGATTTCTCAATTAACCCTATAAGGAAAGGATGTTATACTGTTCCTTCCAGAACTCTTTAAGGGTTAAATCTGTATCGTGGACCAATGGGAGCACAAGTGGCTGGCATCTGGATCACACCTTAAGACTTTGATCATAAGCTAAAACTAAAGTTCTGGTCATAACCCAAGTTGTTCATAGGTCAGGGCGGCTGTAATTAGAGGGTCCACTGTGTAAGACATAAGTAGTCCTAGTTCTCAACTGGACCTTATAAGGAACAATCACATACATGGGGAGAAAAGCATGAGCAAGAGAATGTCTTAGGCTAATCAAAGTAAATAAAATCTTGAGGCACTAGATGGTGAAAGATTGGCAGAATTAATTTAATTCTTGGGAATGAATATAGAAAAATATTAGCCAACTACTATTTAGATCAAATCATAAAAAATCTGTAGTATTTGATTTTTTGACTTCAAAGAATTTTAAATGGTGTAACTGAATAGTAATTTATTTGAATGAGGATTAGGATGATACATATACACCAGAGTAGACAAGAGAGTTATTTGTTCTGTTTTTTTCCTTTTTGACACAGAGTCTCACTATGTAGTACAGGCTGGCCTTGAACTTGCTTATATAACCCAGGCTAGCCCTGAACTCACAGCAATCCTCTTGCTTCAGCTTCCCAAGTGGTGGGATTACAGGCATGCACCACCATACCCAGCAATGATGCTAGTAGTAATCTAATGGTGATGAGACCTCCTGTCTCCAGACTAGGAACAAAGAAACCAGTCAACAAGAAGAGTACAACATATATAGTGCAATGCAGTCATGTATTCTTTCTGAAATGGGATCATTAACGTTCTTTAATGTTAAATGGTAAGATTTCATTTGCTTACATTTACAACATCAGCATCAGCCACTGAGTCAATCTGCTGAAGTACTGTCGATGGTGGCATGTAAGAACCAGCAACTAGAGCCTGGGACCCAACTTCATCCAGGAAACCTTCAGAAGACTCCACTGACATTAGATACCCAGCTTTCAGCTTGTTTCTGTCCGACAAAAGGCAGGAGTCAGTTTTATGGAGCAAGACAGTTTTAAAGTATGTACCTCAAACTTTGCAACATGTTTCTGGTAAACAGGCAAGTTAATAGCTGAAGGCCTCCATTCTATTTTTTCAGTGTATTACTTACATTATTGTTTGGAAAGTATCAACACAAAGCTTTACTAAAACTACAACAGATTACCATTTTTTGGAGACAGGGTCTCAATATGCAGTTCAGGCTGATCTTAAACTCACTTTTAGCACAGGCTAGCCTCACTCATTGATCCTCCTGCCTCAGCCTCTTGAGTGCTGGGATTACAGCATGTACCACCATGCCCAGCCAGATTACCTTTTAATTTTGCACCAAAGCTTAGATCTAGAGAAAACTATTTTAACATGAAGTAATTCCTCCTGCATTGTGATATATGTCTACTGATAATTTCAGGCATCTCAACTAAACAAAGACATCCACCTATGTGGGTTCTTAAGGTACTACTACTTGGCAGAATGCTGTAGGCTGACATGCACCCTACCAAGTTTTACTTCTAGATTGGCAGTTGTCCTAGCAAGGATAGGGCATGAAGGAGAAGGCAGGTGGGGAGGCTGCTACAGTTCTTGAAAGCCCCACGAGCTTAAATACTGTGGGCACAAAAGGATCAATTTTTTTTCCAAATCTATTTCAAGGAAAAAGAGAAAAAAGATTAAAAAAAATCAATTTCAAATAAAACACAAAGACACAATTTACAGTTCTCCTGGAAAGAAACTATTATTCCTCATAAAATTGCTTCTCAATAAGGTAATAAATTATTTAAACCTCAAATTATCATCCTTTGGCATTCTATAGTGAGACTTCTATTTAAATGTAATTACAATTTAATACAGCAATTTTATCACACTGTTGGCTTAATTAAAAAAGGTTTTTACCTAAAATAACTTTACGAAGAGGTTATTAATATTTGTTCCTTTAGCATTAACACCTCACTTCCTCTTTCACTAGAGGAAGACTAAGAACTTTACAAGGTAAAAGCATGAACTTTATCAGAATGGCAGATATCAAATGTTATCTTGAAATCAGTAACCAAAATCTCATTTTCTACATACTGCCATAGCTTTAAAACTATGCTATATTTTGTAACAAAATACTTGTTTGATTATATTTGAGACTTAGAATTTTCCTAAGTGAATCCAGTGTATCAGTTTATTTTCATACTTTCCGTTGTTATTTACTTCTGGTAAAAGCAAACAGAATTGTATCCTATTTGGTTCCCTGCATACAACTAATAAACTGTTACATTTATTCAAAACATGCAGTTTAGGGCTGCATATGTAGCTCAGTGATAGAGCCACATGCATGAGGCCCTGGGTTCAATCCCTAGAACAGGAAAAAGAGAGGAAGAGAGCCAAGGAAAGAGAGCAGAGGAGAGATGCAATTTTGTAGTGTTCAGCACAACAAAACTAGCAATAGAAAATAGAAATGGGAAAGCAAAGGTTGTTTCCTGGGTTATAATTCATACTCTGTCATGCTTCTTGTGTGGGTAATACTAAATTTTCAGAGACTAAATGAATTATAGGGTTCTTATTTTCAATTGACATTAAGTAGATGAACTCAACCTTAAAATGTCTTAAACTGTTGTATGAATTGTTTTCCAACTTTGCCCAAAGTCTGTCTCTTTTAGTTAAGGTAGAATCCCTTAAGTACTAAGGAGTTGGGAGGGAGGTGTTAGCACTTACAGTCTGGACAGTAGAAATTTAAAAATTAACAAATGGCGACAAGTGGTTTTGTCTTAAGAAAAAAAGTACATCTTAAGGAATCAATACTAAGATTCAGTTGTCCCCCAGGATACACAAGTCCTCTGGTATTGGTTCCAGGATCCCCATGGATGACAAAATCTGCAGATGCTCAAGCTTGTTATATAAGATGGTACAGAATTTGCATATAATCTGTGCATAAATGCCTATATATTTAAATTATTCTAGATTATTAACAATACAATGGGAATGCTACATAGACATCTGGTATACTATATTGTTTATGGAATGACAAGAAAAAAGTGTACATACAAAGATATGTACAATGTATGGATGCAATTTTTCCCAATTTTTTTTTAAATCTGTGGTTGGTTGAATTCATACAGAAAGACTCTGTGAATAAGGAGGGTAAACAGTAATATAAAATACGCATTTTAAGCCCAACGATATCTTTTATAGTCTTACTATTTTCAACTGTAGAAAATGACTAGCAACTTTGCTGTATTTTATGACACACCAATTAACATTGTTTAGGGAAAGTCTTTAGTAACCTGGATAAAAATAAACACCATTATGACATTTTAAAAATGAGGAATCATTTAAGCTGGACATAGTGGTACATTCCTATAATTCTAGCATTCTGGGAACGCTGAAGCAGCGCCATCATACAAGTTTAAGTCTAGTCTGGGCAACATAGCAAGGTCCTCAAGAACAAACAAACAAACAAACAGCACTGGGGCGGCACAGTGAAGGCCCCAAGTTCAACCTCAAGTACAACCAAAAAAAATTTTTTTTCAAATTTCTACAATGAACATGTTATTTAAAAAAGATGTAAATGAATATATACAATATTAACAATTGTATTTAAAATGTATAGTCAAGAAAATAACCAAAATGTTAACTAAATCTCTGGATATATAGGTTTCCATTTATACATTTATTTGCTTGTTTATTTTTTTTTGGTGTTGGGGATTGAACCCAGGCCCTCATGCATACTAGGCAGGAGCTCTACCCTGAGTTATACCCCCAGCCCTTCCTTTCCCTTTGAATACATTTTTGTACTTGCACATAGTACAGAAACTTACTTGGCAACCTGGACATCTGCATTGGAAAGATTTCCTTGAGCAATAGTTTTTACTTGGTTACAGGCAGCCTTGATAACCTAAGACAGAGGAAAGTTGATCATCTTTGGTTTTTTTCTTTCTTCTTTTTTTGGTAACCGCAATTGAACTCAGGATCTTGTGCTTGCCAAGCAGGCACTACTGCACTACTGAGTTATATCGCTGGCCCAAGCTGACATCTTTGGCCAGTACCAGAGTCTCCTGAGGCAACCAAAATGCTCCTCTACTGGGCAAAAGCACAAGATGCAAAGTGAATATTAAAGAACAGCAATGTCTATTTTGGAATTCTATAGTAGCTATATATCCCTTAAAGCAGTTATTTGTATAGTATCCAAATAGCAAGTTTTTATATAACTTAAGTAGCAGAGGGCAGAAGGTGGCTAAAGAGGAGGGGGTCTTCAAGAACAAAAAACACATGGATTTGTCTCCACCTATAAAGATAAATACTTTTTTAAACTTCTCTGAACTCTTTCATGTTATGGAATTAATACTATCTCTTACTACTCACTAAGAAGAAAATAGTAATTCATACACAGCCAATTTGTAAGTCTTATTTTATCCACACCCAGAACACTAAAGAAGGAATCAAGTTGTAGTGATGTGGATGTTTGGTAAATATGTGCTTAATAAATAAGTCAATAAACTTGGCCCATGTCTTCTCCATCTTAATCCTGGCACCTTCTGGGTCTACTACTTATATTGTTCCCTGATCAGCTCGATTCTAGGACACATTCCCCTTCCATGTTAGCTACCCATTTCCATAGTCACACCTGTCCTAACTCTGAAATCCTAACTCTTTCCTTATTGTTCTACTTTACCAACATATCTACTTCCTTCATTTGCCTCCTTTCTCTCAAACTGGTCTCTCTTCTCTGTCTGGCATATAGCTATGAATCATCCTTTCAGTCTCTCTTGTCAATGCTCCTAGCTCCTTTATATTTTTCTTCTGCTTCTAATCTGCTCGGAATTTTTTTTTAAGATTTCAACCTGGGATTCATCCCAGTGCCTGCCTCCCTGCTGTTCTACTAAGGTAATAAATACTGATGAATTAAAATTATGAAACAGACCTGGCTTACTACACTGTGAATTTATAGTCACTCATTTTAAGGAGATATCTGTATGACTGCTGCTGCCAGTTGAATGCATCTGGGCATTCGTTTGTCCCAAACCTCTCTTTCTTTCAAATATCCTCGCTCCTCTCTCTCTCTTTTTTTTGGTATCAGGAATCAGACTCAGGAACTTGTGCTTGTCACACAGGTGCTGTGCCACTGAGCTATATCACTAGCCCCTTCCCATCATTCTCTTTTTTTTCCTTCCTCTCATTCTTAAAACATGACTTAAGTTTCCTGAGGCACAAAGGATGGATTTTTCTTGTCTTCCTGACATTATTTCCCAACATTAACTCCTTCCTACTTGTGCTCTGGATCTCACCTGCTCTTGCTTTTTCAGAGTTGAGTCATTTATCATTTTCTAACTCCTAAATCTACAGTCTTTTTATGAATGTCTTTCCACCTTAATTTCTTAGGGTTAACTCTGCTAAAGCTATTGGTCTCTTCCCTGCAAGTCTAAGTGCAATTTGCTTACATCAATCTATCACTTCTTACTTCTCATTCGTTTCCTAATCTCATTAAGTTTTAGCTCATTATCAGTTACTGTGGGAAAAACTAGATCACCAGTGAGGTTCTAGTTTGCCAAGATTGCCAGACCTCTCTCTAGTAACTAGAGGGATCCTAATTTGTAGTGGATCAAAATGGTGTTAACTATTTTCTTTCAAATATACCAGTTTGCCTTTTTTTTCTTTTAATTTTCATGGCCACTTTCCTTAGTCATCTGTCTCATAAATGTCTGGTGGTATTTTCCAGAACATGAACTTTGATTTTCTTTTCTAATTTTTCACCAACAACTGCGACCTCAACATAATCTCTTAAGTGAGGATCAGTATATATGGATCTTGGCCTTGACTTCTCCTGGATTCTAAAATTAGATATCACAGAGCCAACTCAATGACACCAGTCTAAACAGAACCATAATACTGAGGCATTTCTTTCTTTTTCCTGAAAGTTTTAGTACATATTTTTAGATTTTCCCCATATCATATACACTTCAATGATATCACAATACAGACAGTGCTAATAAATGATGGTATTCAAATATTCCCTATTTTAGCTAAAATCATGCAAGTTTAGGAAATAAATTTTATGAGTAGGCAAGTTTAAAACTTACATCTCTAGCAGCTGCAGCTTGTGAGATAGTGTAAATCCCAAAAAGTCCAGAATCTGAGTAACTGGCATTAAAAGCAGAAACCTGAAATAGAATGAAATATGATATTCTACCAGGTAAAAGACAGAACAATTTCCTTGAAGTTGTCTAGATAGACACTTATTCCTTCGTAGTACAAGCAAAATCAATTAATAATTCATTTAACAAATCTTGTTAAGGGCTGAAGTCCTATATATATAGGTTATCTCTTTCAGAGCTACAATGGTTTTAACTTTTTCTCCAATTAAATTTTTCTAAAATAACTGTTCATTTTTCTCTTTATTGGGTTTTTAAAACTTTCTTTTGGTGAATAATAATGTAAACATTATTTTAACAGACAGTATGGGTGAGTGGTACATATCATGGACTCTGGCATTAGACAGATCTGCTTTTATCTACTGTTGGTGTTTTTTCATCAATTTGCTTTCATTTCTCTTATATATAGTCAAAGGATTAGATAAAATTTTGACTAGAGACCATTATCCAAGAAAGTTTAGCCTATGGGTAATAGAGACAAATTTTCTCTACAGTCTGAGCAGTTTTAACTCCTTAAGGTAAAACTGATTAGCTGTGTGTGGTGGCTCACACCTGTAATCCCAGCACTTGGGAGGTTGAGGCAGGAGGATCACTGGGAGTTGAAGACTAGCCTGGGCTACAAAGTGAGCTCAAGGCCAGCCTGAACTGTATAGCGAGACCCTGTCTCAAAAAGACCAAAAAAAAAGTAAAACTAATTACCTAAAACAGTGTTTTGCAGTGTTTATATAAAATGTAAACTGTCTGCATAACAAACCATTTAAGTCACTAAAAGTATCAACTTTCAGATTTTTACAACAAGAGTACTGACTTGCATCCCTGTGGTTATAGCCTGGGAACCCACATAATTTTTTTGAGATAGGGTCTCACTGTGTAGCCAGGCTGGCCTTGAATTTACAATGATCCTTTTACTTCAGGCTCCCAAGTGCTGGGATTACAGGTTTGTGCCACTGTGCCTGGCAGAACCTACATTTTTAACAAATAATCCAAAAAGAAGAAAAAAAAAAAAAAACCCAAAACAAAATGAAATAAAAAGCCCCAAATAATCCAGGTGATTCTTATACACATTAAAATTTGAAAACCGTCAGTTTGAATTCATGAAGTGTAAGAAGAACACACTTAAATTAACTATTAAAACTCAAAACTTTTGACCAATTCTGAACTAAGAATTTCTATTAAATTATTATCAGATTAGGATTGAACTCCAGCAGACAAAACCATCAGTTGCATTCAATGATGAAAAGTAAAGAAAGCATTAAGAAAACAGTGGATTATGACAAGAGAGAAAAATCAGGAGCAAATTAAAACAGCAAAGTTTAATTTAGGACTAACGTAAGATAACGACTTTCAAACTTGCTCAAAGAAACTCTAAGGCTCTGCATAGATTTAAAGGGCTTCATGGTCAAGTTACTCATCAAAAGTTTTTGATGCAGTGTTGTGCACTGCATCTGGAAAATCATATGGAAAAAAGGTTCCTCTGCTAACATAAAACAAAAAACTCATCAAGTTTACTAAACAGGAATAAAAACAAGAATACTGGCTCTAATTTCCACTCTTAGTGTCAAATAGCCAAAAACTTGATGAAACAAAGCTAATGCGCCATATATGTAATACAAACAAGACAAACTTCAATTCTACAGGTTAGTACATTTGTCACATTTTAAAAAGGCATACTACTTAAATAGTTCTCTCTGATTACAGGGGCAAATAATGCTCACTCATCAAATAATATTTTGTTACTTGTTATTGTATAGTCTCCTGATTTGTCAATATTTTAAAAGCTTCAATATTTTCTTGTCTTAAAAAAAGTGTCTTCTAGAATACATTGTTATGATTAAATATCACCATTTCTGTTTTAATTTAATCTCAAATCAGAGAGGCAGGTCTGTAAACAATTTTCTTGTCTTTTTTTTGTATGTGTGACAGGATCTCACTATATAGTTCAGGCTGGCCTCAAACTCACAGCAATCCTCCTGCCTCAGCCTCCTAAGTGCTGGGATTACAGGTTTGCACCACCTTGCCCGAGTAGAATAGTTTACAGACCGAGTAATAATGTACTAATGTACTAAAGTCAAGACTGGCTATCTTTTGAACTGTATGAATTCTTTGTGTTTATATTAACCTTTTCAGAGCAGATTAAGAACTGATCGTTCTGGGGCTGGGGATTTAGCTCAGCGGCATAAGCGCCTGCCTTGCAAGCAGGCAGTCGTGAGTTTGATCCCCGGTACCGATAAAAAAAAATGAGAAAGACCAAAAAAAAAAAAAAGAACTGATGGTTCTGAAAACAAAAGGAGAAATACCAACTTCCTAGACTCACATCGAACGGCTGGTGATTTCCTTTAGCAATAGCCTGGTATAGGAGGTTGGTGGTGTTGCTGCCTCTCTTGACATGTGGTCCAGCACCAAGGACATGCTGAAGAACACTAAATGCATTTGCCTCTGCACTTCCTATGGCAGCACTTTCTGCTACAACAGCAGCATGGACAAGACTGTCTCCATTCTGTTCTCGAATTTCACCTGGGGCCAAGTAAGGAGAGGGCAAGGAGGAAAATAGTTTGGTTACCATTGATTTCACGCTTCAGTACTCCCCATGATATAGTACTGATCCACGAAAAGTAAGCTTATTGTGGCTTTGTCCTTTTCCCAGGTCATCCTATCCCACACAACACCAAAGTTATCTATTTCATTATGCAATAAGATGGTTTAGAGGTAAATGATCAAACCTATTCCATTCCAACATGCTATTCTAGCAGGGACACATGTTTCTCAAAAATTAAGCATAACACAATAGACCGCTCTCACCTCCACGGTACTTAGCCTTTGCACCAGATAAACCAAGCCCGCCCCTCATGTTGAGAAATTGCTCAGCAACTTGCTTTAGAACAGGGTGACTCACACCTGTTTGAACAGAAACAAAAACAAAACTAGAACCAGAATTTCTAAAACAGTTGTAAAACACCACCTACTAAAAGTCTTCTCACCATGTTATTCTCCTAGGTATTAATTTAGTTTACTAATGCTAAACTATATTTATGTATAATTTTTTTAATGTACAGAGAATATCATTCCCTCCCTCTTTTTCTTTCCTTATGGTGCTGGGGGGATTGAAGCCTGCCAAACACATGCTCTATCACTGAGATACACTCCCAGCCCCTATTTTAAAAATGATAGCTGGATGTGGTGGTGCATGCCTATAACCCCAGCACTTGGGAGGCTGAGGCACCTGGACTCTGTAGTGGGTTCAAGGCCAGGCTAAGTTGCATAGAGTTGCACTGCACATCAAAGAACACTATCAAGAAAGTTTAAAAAAAAGGAAGAAAATATCCATGAATCGTATGTGTGATAAGGGTCTATTATCTATAATACATATAAAGAACTTATGAGTAAAAAACAAAGGCAGAGCATTTGCCTAGCATGTGCAAGGCCCTGTGTTCCTAGTAACACACACACAAAACCCAAGAACTCAAAATTTGGGCCACGAGGGCAAGAGATTTAGCTCAGCGGCATAAGTACCTGCCTTGCAAGTGCATGGTCGTGAGTTCAATCCCCAGTACCCATTTAAAAAAAAAAATTTGGGCCAAGAATGTGAATGAACACTTTTCAAAATTAATCAGATGTCCAAATGACTAATGTTATTGGTTATTAGGAAAATGCAAATAAAGCACACAATCACTTCATACCCAAACTACTGATAATAACCTTTAGTGAAGATGTGGAAAAACTGGAACCCTTGGTACTCTACCTGTAGGAATGTAAAATGCTGCATATAATTTGGAAAGTAATCTGGAGCTCTTCAATTGTTAAACAAAGTTACCATGTCCTAGCAATGGTTTCAATTCAAAAGAACTGAAACCAGGTATCCAAAGAAAAATTTATTCAGGAATGTCTACATTCAAAATCACTTGAGCTGGGCATGGTGACACAGGCCTGTAATTCTAGCACTTGAGTGGCTACAGCAAGAACATCACAGCAAGTTCCCTGGCCTATGTTTAAGACCAGCCTACATAGGGAGTCCCTATCTCAAGAAGCCAAAAGATAGAAAATCAAAACACACAGAATCAATCCAAAACAACCAACCGAACAAAAACCCCATCAAAGTCGCTAAAAGGTGAAAATCCAAGTGTTAATGAATAAACAAAATGTAGTAATGGAGTCTCACTGTATAGTACAGGCTGACCTTGAGTTCACTATGTAGCACAGACTGGCTTTGAGCCCGCAGTGATCCTCCTGCCTCAGTTTCCCAAGTCCTAGGATTTTAGATGCGTGCTATCACACCCAGCCCACAAAAAATTTTTGACACTATTTCTTCATACCCTGATTAACACTGGGCAGTGTGAATCTTTTAGTTTTTGCCAATTTTACAATTAAAATTTTTCTTATTAGTGAGACTAACCATCTTTTAAAGTAACAATATACAAACACACACACACACACTCTCTCTCTCTCTCTCTCCAGAGTAAGTTGTCTGCTTAGGTTCTTTTGCCTATTTTCCTATTAAACTATACTTCTTTTTAAAACGCAGGTTATAAGAGCTCTTTGCTTAAAAAAATTCACCTTTGTCACAAGTTATGCAAACACAGTAAAGAATATAAAGTAATTTACATAGTTAAATATTGGATTCTGCTTTTCCAAGCAGAATAGTAAAAAATCCTACTATATATTGCTTGTCTGGCATAAATGGAAGTTTTCCAATTTCATTCAATCCTTTGTTCAACATCTCAGTTTAAGTGACTGTTCTTATGGCAGCAAACTGATATATACAAAATTCGCAACTTACCAAGTCCAATCAAAGCCATTCGTGCACTGGTAAAATGGTTCTGAACATAGTGGTGTAACTGAGGAAATTAAAAAAATTCTTAGGTTTTACTGGTATAAATATAAAAAGAACTAGAACTTAATTGTAGTGATGGATGCACATGCTGAACATAATGAAAATCATGAAAGCATGTATTTTAAATAGTATGTGTAGCATGCAAATTATATCTCCATAAAGGTATTATTTAAAAAGGAATTAAAATTATACGCCAGAACTTTAAAGAATGAGAATAGGCTTATGATTTTTATCATAACGAGGTTCTAGAAGCATATCAGATTTCTTTTGTCTTTATCCAAGTACATATTTAAACTACAAATATCCTATGGCACATCTAGTAAGAGTTGTTAAAACTATACATCCTGCTTGCCCATCTCTGAAGCCAATCATGGTTTATCCTATTACCTCAGGCTTATTATACAAAAACAGAGCTACATCATAATTCTCAGAAGATATGATTACTCTCCTTTCAGAGGACAAAAACTTAGTTCTTAAAGAGTTAAGAAAAAACAAAAATCCCTCATTATAGGTATAAAATAAATATATATATATAGTACATAAGCAAATATAGTGTCTGTGGCATTAAAAATATATTAGAGAGATTTAAGAAAAGCTCCCTGAGGAAGGAAATTGACAATGCTATGAAACACTGGTTAAGGTAATGAGACTAAACTGTATAAACTTTTAAACTTATCTGTCAGAAGTTGTGCTCTAAATGAATGGTACATATCTTTTGTTTGTTTGCTTTTTTTTTTTGAGACAGGGTCTCACTATGTACTTCAGGCTCGCCTTGAACTTACTACATAGCCCAGGCTGGCCTCAAAAAGGTGATGCTTTTGCCTTAGCCTTCTGAGTGCTGGGATTACAGGTGTGTGTCATGATGCCTGACTTTGAATCGTAGGCATCTATAGAGTTGCCTTTGGAAAATCATACTCTTTGTTCTATTAATATTTTTCTACTGAGGCTTAAAGTATCTATTGCTTATTTCTTTAGAATTTCCTCTAGCCTAGGGACATATTTTTTAAAAACATTAGTAACGTTGAAAGAGTAAGTTTATCATGGTTAAAATCTTGGTATCTGTGCATAGTGCTTTTTAAAACATTGGACCTTTTCAGCTAGGCACAGTGGTGTACCCTTGGTAACCCAGAACTCTGGGAGGCTGTGGCATCAGGATCACAAGTTTGAGTCCAGCTTGGGCAACTTAATAACTTAGTGAAACCCAGTCTCAAAATGAAGAATAAAAAAAATAGGGTGGGGCTGCAGCTCAGTTGCAAAGGCACTGGGTTTATCCTCAGTATTAGGGAAAAAAAAGAAAGATGGGACCTTCTGTTATATGCTAAAGCACTTTACTTGCCAATATGCTACTTTTTATATTATCAGTAATATTTTAGAGTGGTTGAATAGTGTGCTCTTCTATGGTTTTTTTTTTTTTCGTTGTTGTTGTTTTGAGATAGGGTCTCATTATGTAGTTCAGGCTGATCTTGAATTCATTATGTAGCTCAGGCTGGCCTCAAACTTATGATCTTGCCTCAGCCTCCAAAGTGCTAGGATTACAGGGATGTACCATTACACCCAGCTCTACAGTTATTTAATGAGCTATTTTACTTATCTCCTAATGGTGGATATTAGTTTTTAATTTTTCACAATTTAAAAACATTGCTGTAAAATATCCTTGTAGATAAATGTTTTGCTCTAAGCATTATTTTTGGCTACCTCAATGACAATTTCTTGCAAAGATGAATTTCATTTCTAAAGTTTCAAAACTCATTACAAGCCAGTCTTATAAAACATGTTGCTCGTTCAAATTGGATATGATTTATTATTTTTGAATAAAAGTACCTTATTACTATGTAGGCATTAAAACTGATCGGTAAGTCAAACAAGAAAGGGGTATAGTTTAGTTTTCTGTAGCAGTTAACCAGAAATGAAACAGGATTAAAAATTTAAGCTTTAAGTCAATACTTTCAAAATAACTTAATTTCTTTTCTAATGTCATTTGACAAAATTTTTTTTGTGGGTATGTGGGTGGTAGAAGCAGGAAATTAAGATTATACTTATCTATACTAGTAAACTTAACATGCAATGTCTCTTGTTTTGGAAACGAAGTTGTTAAGCATATACATGGCTATGATGTATGATAAATCTGTACCAACACAGTAAGGCTGTGCTGAATAGGGTGACTAATCAGTGAGAGAATGGCAAGTAAGGAAGCTGGGTTCACTGTCAACACGCATATTCAGAGGACTAAACATTTTTAGTCAAGGATTTATTGTGATATTTAAAAACTTAAATACTGTTTTAAAAAATACACATTTATAGAAAAGGGCATACAAAAGAAAATATATCAGGTATTAATACTAAGAACCTCTAGTAGGTATGAGAGATACTTTGTTTCTGTTCATTTTATTTTCACATTTTTCTGTAATGATCACCTCTCTTGTATTCTTTTTTTTTTTTTACCGGTACCAGAGATCGAACTCACGACCATGTGCTTGCAAGGCAGGCACTTATGCCGCTGAGCTAAATCCCCAGCCCCGATCATCTCTCTTTTATTGAAACTTTTGTGTTTTGTTTTGCTTTTTGAGATGGATTTTGATATATACTTCAGGCTGGATTCAAATTAGCAGTGACCTGCAGCCTCAGCCTCCTGGATTATAGGCGTGTGCCAGCACACTCAACTTGTCAAACTTGTTTTTGAATTTAAAGACACACAAACATTGCTCTGATAAAATTTTAGTTACAAAGCACGCTACCTTTCTTAAAATTAGAAGAAAAGCCAGCAAACATCCTGTAACGGTAGGTGATGCTCAATTTAATGTGAAAACAAGTACATTTTAAAACACAGATTGTTAGCTGGGCATAGTGGTGCATGCCTGTAATTCCAGCACTCTGGAGGCTGAGGCAGGAAAATCGTTCCAAGTTTAGACCAGCCTGGGCTACAAAGTGAGCTCAAAACTGGGCTAAAGGGCCAGGGATTTAGCTCAGCAGCATAAGCGCCTGCCTGGCAAGCACAAAGTTATAAGTTTGATCCTCAATACAAACAAAACAAAACAAAACAAACTGGCCTGAATTGCATAGTGAGACCATCTCAAAAAAACCCAACAAAACCAAAACCAAACCAAACCAAAACAATACATAGTATGTTTTACCAGTTACCTCCTCTGATGTCACTTTTCCAATTCTATAGTTAGGACAATATAAGGAATTAGCCAAAGCATTCCGGTAAGCAGCAGCATGCAAATTTTCAATGACACCTATAAGACAGATAAGAAACAATTACTGAAATGTAATAACTAAAATAACAACAACAGTCTTAAAACTCAGAGTAACAAGTCTGCCTATACAAATTTGGAGTTCATAGCCATGTAAGGGGACTTTTACATTTATTAATACTCTACTCCCAGCAACTTTTGTTTTTGGTTTTTGAGACAGGATTTCGCTATGTATTCAGGGTGCTCTTGAATTCAATATGTATCCTACACTAGAGCCGAATTCTGACAATCTTCCTGTTTCAGGCTCTCAAGTTATGGGATATACTTCTAGCAACTTCTAAAATTCTGCCAGTTGAATGTGCTAAGAAAAAGAGATCATATGATATGACAAAACCCACCTAAACACTTTTATGTGTTATCACCTGGAAAGTATAAGGGACAAGGTTTCAGAAAGTCTGAATCTAGTTATAGTTACCTTGCCATGTGACCTTAGGCAAGTCATGTAATCTGAATTTACTTTTCTTTTCTGAGACAGGTCCTTGCTGTGTAGTTTTAGGCTGGGCTTAAGCTTTTTATATGGTCCAAACTGGCCTCGAACTTGTGGCAATTTTCCTGCCTCAGTCTCCCGAGTGCTGGAATTGTAGGTGGTGTGCTATCAACCCTGAATTTTACTTAAGTTTTCTCTCTAGGTAGCAAGAGCACTGTCAGCATACAGGGAGCTATGAAAGTGTCAATCTTAGGTGATATTACTAGGTTATAGGAGCCAGGTACTATCACTGACTAGACTTACTCTTCACTGGTATCCTGGCACTGTGTTTCTCTCCCTGCTCTGGTGCCTTTGCTATAGTTATACTTTCTGTATTTGTTCACTGTTGGGGTAATGTCGCCCTGGCAGGCACTGTACTTGGTGCTGGAGATAGAGATGAGTAAAATAAAGCCTATCCTCCAAAGTGCAGTAGGGGCATTAATTAGGGAAGATAGTGGAAACTGCCAAAGAGTAAAAGAAATAATATATGGGCTAAGTCTTATACAAAGTGTGCTTTCTAGGTATACAATTTGGGATCTGCATCAAAGGAATGATGTAAACAGACAAAGCAAAGACATAAACTGTAAGTGGAGGTTGATTAAGGTGACTCACTGCTTGGAGGGGAAGAAGACAGACCAAAAGAGAAGTAGGACTACACATTTCAAAAACCTAGAAAGGATTTTCAAAGTTTCTACCATAAAGAAATAACAAATGCTTGAAGAGATAGATGTTTAACTTGATTTAAACAATACACAATGTATACTGAAGGACTTAGTGGTATCCCATGAAGTATGTAATTTTTATGTATCAGTTTGAAATAAAATAATAATAGACAAAGCTATGTTATACATTGCAAATCCAAGTTACTGTCTAGTGACAAAGGATGAGGGCTGGAGTTTCACTACCAGTGGGCTGAGCCCATGTGGACACATACAGCATGTTTTCTACAACTTTACCATTCTGGTTCTGTATCACAGTCCTTGAGCAAAATAGGGTATAATTCTCTGTGATACAAAGCATCACTGTGAAATAACATCAACCACATAAACTAAACATTCACTATGTTCCAAGCATCTGATAAGAGCCTTTCTTGGTAGCCCTGCATTCTCTGGAAAGCACATGCCATGCTGAAACTCTACAGCTGGTCCACCTACACTTTTTGCTCCCATCAGAAGATATTAACTTCTAACAGTCAGCAGTGCTTGTTTACAGATTTGTTTTGCCAGTTGTACCTGTGTAGATTATATACTAAATATTATAAAAACTCAAAAATATGCATACAAGAAAGTTCTTATTTTTAAAAAATTGAGCTGCTTGCTTTTAAAAGACTCAGTAAAGGAGAGCTGATTAAATAATAACAGCAATACATAACAATAAATAACCTGCAAAATATACTAGTGCTGGGTTTGGTATAAGCAAAACAACTACTATATTTAAAAAAAAGAGGGAAACAGGAAAAAAAAATCTAGGATTTTATAAACAATTTGTTCACCATGAAAAATGAGTAACACACACAAACAAAGAAAAATGAATAATAACATATATAAATGTTTAGAAATAAAAGAACAAACAACATGATGAAATAACTGAGCAAATTTTTGGAAAAGATATTTTCAAACTCAAGTAGGAAAATATTTCAACAGCAATTTTCTCCTATATAAATCAATCTTCTTGAAAAACAAGTATCCTAGAAACCAACTAATCTGAAAATGTACTCACGAGTTTGTGGATTCTGAAAAGCCACAGTTTTGTCAATCCTCAGCTGAGGCTGAAGGTCAGCTACTTCCCAACGACGGAATTCTGGTGCTGTGGTGACATTAAGCAGGAACTCCATTACAATCTCACTGTAGAAAATATCAATGTAAGAGTTACAGTCAACATTCAAGATTCTTTGTAACTGCGATGCTTTCTATACTGAGTTCTTGTGCCGAGCAGTGCTATGTGCATAAAGTCTATGAATTAACACAAAACCGAGTGACAGGTCATACTCACATATAGTAAAGATGAACTCAGAAGCTTAAATTCCTTTAAAAGGAAACATTTCACAACACATACAGGTACTCACACATCATCCCGCAAGCACTCCACAGTGTATGCCATGCTTTCCCTCGTTGCAGTCACGCTGAATAGGAAATAAATTACAGTGAATTATCTGAATCAGAAGAATAAACTTTTCCTTGTATCTTATTAAATCAGCAACTCCTTTGGAAAGTTTTTGAAGTACTATCAAAAAGTGCCAATAATAATACAGAGTCAACTAAAATTTAAAAACATGAAGAAATAAGAATGGGAAATTAACCTTAAAAAGGAATGAAATTCTAACTTGTGCTGTAACATGGAGGAATACTGAAGATATTATATTAAATGTCACCTAAATCAAGACACAAAGTAGAACAGTGGCTGCAGGGGCTCAGGGGATGGCAGAATTTTAGTTGGGTAAGATGATAAAGTTCTACAGACAGATGGTGCTAATGATTGCTAAATGCTGCTTAACATCTTAGAACTTTAAAATGTTCAATTTTATATATATTTTACTACTATTTTTTAATATAGTAAATAAAATTGAGTGTGGTGGTATACACCTATAATCCCAGTTACTCAGAAGACTGAGACAGAAGGATCGAAGTTTGAGGGTGATTTGGGCAACTTAGTGAGATCTTGTTTCAAAATAAAAAAGGGCTAGAGATGTAGCTGGTAGTACCCTTGGTTCAATCCCTAGCACCAGAGGTGTGGCTGGGAGACAAGCTGAAGATGGCTTTGTATCTTTTCCCAGGTCAATATCCTCACTTGTTTCCACTTTAGAAAACATAATTATAAGCACTTTGTTTTTTAATTTCTCCATGTGGATATACAGATCTGATCGGTTCCTTAACCGCTGTGTAGTTTTTGCTCTTTATAAAGAACAACTGGAGATTCCACACAGCTAAATAAAAGTACAATTACGATGGAACTTCTAAAAACCTTTTGTTTACTATTGTCTATGGTTCATTTTTCCTAATTTTTAGTGCTTTAGTTTTCCAAACAGAAATCATTTGTATGTTGCATATTGCAAATATCTACTTCTAATTACTTACATGGTTACATTAAGACATAATTTTATAAACCAAAGTTCCTCTCTTTTGGTACTATGGATTCAACTCAGGGCCTTGCAACTGAGCTATATCCTCCAGCCCTTTAACTTTTTTCTTTCTTTTTTTATTTTTTTTTTTTAAATTTTAAGACAGGGTCTCATTAAATTGCTAAGTTGTCCTGACTAATTCTCCTGCCTCAGCCTCCCAGTGTTGGGATTATAGGTTTGTTGTATCCTACCTGGATAAACATGTTTTACATTTTGATGCAAATTCATCATTATTTTCTCTAATGTTTTAAGAAATCATCAATCACCATGGTAAAAGAAAATTTTCCTTATAACTCAACCTCTTCTGGTACTTTCACTATTTAATTATAACATTTAACAAACCTTAATTTACCACCAACTGCTTCGATTCCACGGGTTATCTTGAAAGATGAAGCACCTTTTGTAGTCTTGAAAAAGAAAGAAAAATTTTCTTATAAGTTTTTCAATGCTGTTTGCTAAATATCATACAGTATCAAAATTTGTGTAACTATTATTAGCAGATTCAGAAGAACTAATAGTATAACATTTTAAGTTATATGCAAAGTTCAAAGAAAAGCACAAGTATAGATTTTTATGTAAAAAATTCTACTATCAGACATAAACTTATTACAGATCTTACTTCTGAAAGAACTGCATACAGAAGACTCTTTTCCATTTTTAGCACTTTTTTAAAAAACGATTTTTATTGATTTCTTATATTCTAATTCGAATATAAAGCAAGTTACTAATATAATGGTTCTATGTACCAAATACTTGTGGTTTCTCACTTTATGTTAGGGAATTTTATTGCGTTGTACAGTGTTTCCAAAACTACCATCCATTCAGACCCTACAGCTGTGTCTTTTTTGGAAGTAAGGTCTTTGCAGCTGTATTTAAGAACAGGTTACACTGAATTAGGGTGGGCCCTAAACCCAAAATGACTAGTGGCCTCCCAGGAGTAAAACTTGGATACAGGGACACAAACGGAAGAAAGGCCATGTGACAATAGCAGTAATTAGAGTGACGCAGCTACGGTATGCAAAGGATTGTTGTCACCCACCAGAAGCAAGGTAGAGGCAAGGAAAGACTTTCTAGTGCCTTTAGATAAAGGATGGACCTGGTAACACAATGACTCATTATAAAACACCTCAATTTTGACTTTTAGCCTCTAAAACTGAGGAAAATTTTTTCTGGTCAAGGCATCCAGGTTGTGGTAATTTGGTATGGCAGCTCAAGAAAACTAATAATGGGTGTCATGACTTGCTTCTACAATGTCTTCCCAAACCACGTGTGTTACATCTTGGTCCCTAAAGCAGCAATAATTAGAGAAGGGAGCTTCTGGAAGGTGACTGGATCATGAGGGCTCTAATTTCATCAGTGGATTTAATAGATTCATAATTTGATGGTATTACTGAGAAGAAAGGGAAACTTAAGGGCTATACCCTAGCTGAAGGGAATGGGTCATAGATAAGATGTTGGGGATATCTTATCCTCCGGTCCTTCTTTTTGGCTCTGGCTCTCTTTTCCTCTGCTTCCCTGCTGCCATGAGCTAAGTAGCTTTCCTTTGCCATACCATTCAACCATGATGTCACTGTCTTGCCACAGGCCTAAAAGCAATGGGGCCAGTCAACTGTGGTCTGAAACTATGAACTAAAATAAATCTTTCCTTTTCAGTTATTTTTTCATAGTGACAGTAAGTTAAGAGATACTGCTTTTAGTTTTTCTTCCTGACATGACCAAAATATCACAGCACTTCCAAATGCTGAGGTAATAGAGTACTTACCAAACTGGATGCAAGACGTAGCAAATGAGAAGTTCCTAAATTGCTGGAGTCCTCATATCGACTGCCTGCTTTAATAAATACACCAATTCTAGATGCAGGAGCATAGTTTTCCAGGGATGCAATCACCAGACCATTTGGTAATTTGGTGAACTGTATTTGAAATAAAAACAAATGCAATTAGTATCTTTATATTACCAAGAGAAGTAAGGAATATATGGATTTCAGTGGACAATTCATAGTACTAACCTCAAGGTCCTGAGGATGTGGAGGCACTCCTACAGGGGCTGCTGTGGCTTTAACTTTTGGAGCAACTTTGAGGGAATAAAATCTCTAAACACAAAAAAGATAGGTTATATACATTTCTCACAAGAACACAGCTTTGTATAAAAAGTAATTTATCTTTGTATTACTGAGTGACAAAGAACAATGACCATCTCTATGAGAAGGTTTTGCTAAATACTGTTGTGAACTTCTAAAGTGACTAGCTTACTCAAGCCATTCTAAATTTTTATTTGTAGTTGACAGAAAAGGCCTTTTCTCAGTAGGGTCTCATGCTATAGTCTAGACCACCATGGAACTTTACAATAGAGCCTAAGCTGGCTCAAATTCAAAATCTTCCTGCAAAGCCCCTTTAAGATCACAGGCCTACCACACAGGCCTATCACAATCCCTGACTTGAAGTTATACTACAAAGCAACTGTAGTAAAATCAACATTGTACTGGAATCAAAACAAAACCGAAGATCAATGGAATAGATTAGAAGATACAACCGCAACTACAAACACACTAAACTACATTATCTTTGATAAAGGGGCCAAACATGTTCACTGGAAGAATGACAGTCTCTTTAATAAATGGTGTTGGAAAAACTGGCTCTCCATATGCCGAAAACAAAGACTAGACTCATGCCTATCAAAATGTACTAAATTAAAATCTAAATGGATCAAAGATCTGAATATTAAAACAGAAACACTAAATTTATTGGAAGACAAATTGGGTAAAAATCTTGAAGACACAGGGGTAGGTAGAGAATTCCTGAGCAGGAATCAAACCGCATGGGAAATACTTCCCAGTATCAATAACTGGGATCACGTCTTATTAAAGAGTTTCTCCATGTGAAAAGAAATCTCCAGCAGAGTGAAAAGAAAACCCACAAACTGGGAAAAAATCTTAGTGAACTGTCCCTCACACAAAGGGTTCCTGTCTAAAACATATAAAGAATTTTAAAAAAATCAGACCCCTAAAATTCAAAGATCCCAATCCAAAAATGGGCATCTGGGATGAATACACAATTCTCAGATGAAGAAATACAAATGGCAAATAAATTCACGAAAAAATGTTCAGCATCATTACTCATTAGAGAAATGCAAATTAAAACCACACTGAGATTCCATCTCACTCCTGAAAGAATGGCCAGGATCAAGAAAACCACCACCAACAAATGCTAGAAAGGCTGTGGGGAAAAAGGAACTCTCCTGCACTGTTGGTGGGAGTGTAGACTGGTACAACCATTGTGGAGGTCAGTCTGGAGATTGCTCAAAAAGCTGGGATTGGAAGTCCTATTTGTTCTAGCTATTCTACTTCTAGGCATATTCCCAGAACTGAAAACATCATACCACAGTGGTATATGTGCACCCATGTTTATAGCAGCACAATTTGTAATAGTCAGAACTTGGAAATAACCTAAGTGTCCATCAACCGAAGAACAGATAAAAAAGTTGCGGTATTTTTATACAATGGAGTACTACTCAGCTATAAAGAATGATCACATTGAGATATTTATAAATAAGTGGGTGCAGCCTGAGACCATACTCATAAGTGAAATAAATCAAACTCACATGTACAAATACTGAATAGTTTCCCTAGTGTAAGAAATGGTAAGAATACATAAAAGTATATGGTAATCATGATTCCCCATTATATTGTTTTGAAGCTTTATAATGTTTTTGTTCATTAATTGGAATGGTTTTATTCTGGGGTGTTTGATTTTAATGTCTGTGATGGTATGAATAGTTATTTTGAAGAAAATAAGACATTATAATAGCTACTGCTGATTCAATTCAGCTTGTTTTGAAGTCCCATCAAGCTTTTGTTCTTCTGTCTCCATCGGTTTTATTATATTGTATCTTATTGGACTTTATTATATGTGATAGTATAAACAAAATTTTTTATAGTGAAAGAGATAATATAGAAACCATTTTTCATTTTCTGTTAGTTGGTTCTAAATACTGTGTAATACTTTTAGCCTCTTGAATGGTTTTACACTGTCTTGTTATGTTTGATAGTATACAAAGGCATACTCAAATATTTCAAGGAGATACTATGATGACTACTGTTATGTCAGGTTATCCTGTGGTGAAACACTATGTTGCTTAAATTGTTCTTTTCTGACCTGTGTTGTTATGTCCTCTTTGATCTTAATCTCCCCCTTTTTTATACATATTTTTTAAATAAAAAAATCACAGGCCTACATCATCATGCCTACCAAGAGAATATTAAGTTCTCTATATTCACTTTTTACTATGTGAAGAATAACTATTTTTTGTACTTTTTAATTATCTTACTAAAGTTTCAAATTGTTCCTTAGCACTGCTTTGGAATTTTTTGAAAAGAATGTCAGACTGCCAAATTGACACCCTTTTGCAGATTTCAGCATTACTGCTTCCCTAATCTTCCCAATGATACTCACCATTTTAGTCTATTTTCTAGCTGAAATGACTTCATGCCTTCAATTATTTTAGCAATCTAAAAAATCTAGAATATAACAACTTCTTTTGGGCCACTACTATTTTCATTGTATCTTCACTTTCTTGATCATGATCATGTTACAATGATACAAGACCATACAATCATGAGTCTTAAAACCCTGACTAAATAAAAATGTGTACTATCCTAAGATTAACAATAGACTTAGTCACAGCAGATTCTCAATATATATTATGCAGTTGCGAGTAGGGTAAGGAAGTCTCATTAAATGTCAGATAATAGATTTAAAGTGCATTCATTTTATTCAGTCTTTCTGGCAAATGATACAGTGTCTTAAGTCAATTTGATTATGACTAAGATCCAGTCAACTTGTTGCTGGAGTTTTCTGAGGCCTCTCATCATAATCTACAAGGCCTCTACTCTGCACTGTCCCAACGCTGATGCTGTGCATTCAGCATCAGTGCTGTACTAATTTGGTTGTTGGTTTTCATTTGCTCTTAGTATTATTTTATTCTCTCTTTAGTACTATTAATTATAATTAGCAATGCTTTACAATTATCCATTTAGTTTTCTGGAATAGGTAGCCTTATTTTTGACTTTTGGTTTTCTAAAAACTAAATTTTATGATATAGTCATAGCAGTTCAAATACAAATAGCTATATAGTTACATTATCAAACAAAATGTATGCTTTTTATTTAAAGGTACCTGAACGATGACATTTATTATGTGCTTATTTGTTCCCTTTGAAATCAGGAAGAAATAATCCTAGCAGTTGTTACAGACATTACTGGCTTATTATTTTCTTACAGTAGTAGGACCACATCTAGGCAAGTACTACTAAACTGCATTCCAATTCTTTTTAATTTTCAGACAGCATCTTGCTAAGTTGCTTAGGCTGGCTTCAAACTTTTAATCCTCCTGCCTTGGCCTTGCAAGTAACTAGGATATAGGTTGGTGCCACCACACCTGACTAATTATTTTAATAACACAATATGTATACACTTATTTTCATTTAAGACAGGTGCTATTAATGAGAAACAAATAATGAATTTCAAGTTTATTTGAATTTGTTTATTTTAGTTCTCTCCAACTGGTATCTCAGTTTTTTTCTACTGGAAAATGGAAGGGAGTTTGTGAGTCCAACTGCACTGTCCTTAAAAGACTATTTCTCATTGGCTTGTCTAGGCTTTCCAGGAATACAATCAAAGCCTAAATTTGTGCAATCTACCGTATACTCATTTAAACATAAAGCACAGGGCTGGCCCAGCGGTTCCTTGAGTCTGGCTTCCCAACCGCCCGGACTGATTAGTCCGGTGGTTCGAGACCCGCGCGCGCTCTCCAGTCCTTTAAAAAAACAACAACAACAACAAAAAAAAACAACAACATAAAGCACAAGGACACTCCATTCCCATGTCTGGTGTTTTGCATTTCCCTCAAGCAGAGTTTCTTAACCCAAGTACTATGGCACCTTGGGCTGGATAATTCTTGGTTGAAGGGATCTGGTTTAAGTGTCATAGAATTTTTAGCAGCATCCCTGGCCATCGAATGCCAGTTAACACCTTCCCTAACATTAGCAAACAAAATTGTCTCCAGTCTTTGTTAACTGTCCACTGGGCGCAAATTATTCCTTGCTGAAAATTTTAAAAACCTATCTCCTTTCCTCTCTTGCCTAATGATCCACAGTGATAAAACACCGATGCTGAGGCATTCTCGCCAAGTGACAGTTACGCTTAATTTCGGCTTGAGAGAGATATTTATGTAGCTTTTGAGAGAAGATCAAGGGTTCCTTATAAATGGCCCTTTTAACAAGAAATTTATAAAAAGCATACAGTATTGCCAGAATACCATGGTAAATAACACCGAATGAAGTTCCACGAGCTGTGATAGGCGCTGTATCTGCATTAGCTTACTTCTTATATTTTTATTCAAAAACCTATTTAACCGTTGGGGAAACTGCTCTAAGACTTAAAACTGATGCTCTGTGATTTAAAAAAAAAAAAAGGAGCAGAGGCTGCAACTGATAAAAGGGCAGGGGACCGGTCTGCGCTCTGAGCGCTCCTCCCGCCCCTTGTATTTGCCCGGTCTCCTTTGGCACATAAGTGACCTTCAGAGAAGTCTGTTCCGGAAGCTCTATCGTCTCTGCTCTCAAGCCCATCCCTTGTCATCAGGGTTTTTGGCGTTAAGACTCTTGCTCACTGGACAAGCCGAGTCTCCGATACCTAAAACGGACTGTAGCCCGCTTGGCCCGCGAGGTTTAGCTGAAGGGCGAACCAGAGCCTAAGGCCCGAGACCCCACACCAGGTACTTTCGGGCTGCACCACCCTGCTGACAAATACCTGTCCAAATTTTTCCCAAACCCGCCAATTGTGCTCACCGAAAAGGAGCCGGCTCTGGTTAGTAGCTTCATGGTTAAAGACTTCGGACCCACGGTCACCGCCAATTTAAAAGAAAGCAAGATGGTGGCTAAAACCAGCAGTTTCCCAGTTTGCCCAGCGCAGAATTTTCACACGCCCCCATTCTAAGGAGGACTCTCTATACAGACTGCGCTCTACTGCTCCCTGGAGAAGGTTGGACCAGTTCAACTCCTCCAAGACGCAGAAAAGAAAGGTACACAATTTAATTAAAAACATACAGAAGCTAATTTATGTTACTAAGTTTGAGTTATTTTCCTGACTGAATATCCATTCGTTAAATTTTTCGAATTATGTCTGACAACCCGTCAGAACTCCCCCCACCAGTTTGGACTTTTCCGACCGGAATTGTCCAATAAAACAGCGCCTTTTCCAGGTTCTGGCAGGCGTTCTCCCCGCCTACTCCTGGTCTTCCGGTTCCCTGCAAACCGCTCCCTTTAAGAGGTCCTTTTAAGCTACTTTCTGCGGAGGTCTTGTTCTTCAGAGCTTGGAGATTTCTTCTTTCTTGGTGTAGCGCTAACTAAATCGTTAGTTTTGTGAGAGCAGAGGTCCTGCGCGATGTTAGTCGCCATTGTATCCCCTAAAACAGGCCGAGGATACTCTAAAGTCGGACCTCAACCTGAAGTGATCGTCACAAAGTAAGGCCTCTGCTCTCGGAACTTGTATCGTAGGTTCGCTTTATAAAGAAAACAAAATTAAAACTAAATTTTTGTTTTTAATAGTAGGAGGCACTTGAGCGGAAACCTGCATATTGAGAAAGGCAGTCATGTGATGATACGGGAGAGGGAGGGAGAATTTACGAGTGTTTAAAGTGAACTGTTGCCGGTACAGTAGTAAATTAAAGGCGAAAGCGTGGTCCGTGTCTTGCAGGGACATACAGTCTTGTGCTTTGGTTGCCACGTTGGAAAACTCACAATATTGACGTCAGTATCTTAGCGAGTACAGCACAGCATTTCCTAGTTCCGTATTAAACCTGGGTCTGTGTTTTTACAAGACCTGGCGTAATTCAAATGCATTAAAGGTTCAGAAAGGCCAGTAGTGTAGACATTACAAGGCACAGGCAAACTTGTGTCTTCTTTGGCTTGTGTATGAATTGTTTAATGACTATAACTGTCGCAAGTGGATGTAATCGTTAAGAACCTGTGCCAATCGAATTTCTTTGTCTTCGGCCACCCCTTCTTCCCCAATCTGTACTGTGTAGTAGTTTCCCCAGGTGTGGTAGACTTACTCTAGTGATGCATGAGATGATTATGATTCTAAATTAGTACATGAATAAACCTTGTTCCATTTTAATGACTTGTATCATGGCAAACAATTTTAAATGCATTTATTAAAGGTGTTGGTTTAAAAAGGTTAAGTATTGACGATATAGAAGTATGGCACAAATCATCAAAGTGTTATCCAATGAATGAAATTTGGGACACAACGCTGTTTTCAAGTTAGTTGCCTACTTCAGTGTCTTATCCAGGTTTTTCATGATAAAGTTCAAATTTATTAGTGTTATACAAAACTCTGTCTCCAGTATCTCTCCATGTTCTTCTGGATGGATTGAACCCAAGGCCTTTGCACTGAGATACATCCTTAGCCCTTTTAAAATTTTGAGATAAGGGCATTGCTGAGTCACTAAGTTGTCTCTAACTTGCTATCCTCTGTTTTAGCTTCCCTGGATTACAGATGTACTCCACCATACCCAGCTATCTCCACTACTTTTTAATCACTGCCTGTCAGTTCTGCAACCCCAAGAGCCCAGTCATTGGAACTTCATCGTTCAACAGTTCAGGTCGGGTGGGAGCAATACACACACATCCCTGCATGTGTACTTCCTTTCCTACATTTAGAGACCTGCACCTATTTTAAATGCCCCCTTATTTTAGGTTATAATATCCACACGTCAAACATAACTGTGAATCAAATATCCTAAAGAGGAAAAAATTGTTCAAAAGGGACAGGAATTTTGATACAGAGTAAGTCATGATACCAACTGCATAAATCAAAATCTTTTTTTTTGAGACAGAGCCTTACACTGTAATTCAGGCTGACCTTGAACTCATTATGTAGCCCAGGCTGGCCTCAAACTCATGGCAGTTCTTCTGTCTCAGCCTCCCAAGCTGGCATTACAGGAATGCACCAGCATAAGTAGCTAAATTTTACTCTAAATTTGCAACACTTTTTAGTAAGCTTTCAATAACAAAGTAGGAGCGCCATCTTGTGGGCAGACCCCACCACTTTCACATCTTACTACGTCCTACCCAACTTCATGATGGCTCCTCAAGTAGAAGCTTCAAGAAGTGTTTTATTGCAGAAAAAAAGAGAATCCTTGAAATTTTATCTGCATAGGAGATACTGAAAGCCTTGATAGATGAAGCAAACAGATGCTAAGAGAGTAGACATACATGGAGGGTCAGATCAGTGCATTTGTTGAAAGTTCTAATTGTTAGTTTTCTTGAGTCCAGCTGGACTCTGTGGAGTGGGGTGAGTGACTAGATGTATGCATGTTGGGAAAATGTGGAAAGAAATAAGGTGATAGTGGGGACAAAACAGGCCATAAGAGAGTGGCTTGAGTTTGTACCTAGGAACATTACTTTGCCATTTTAGGATCAGAGGCATTATGTTGGCTCCAAATGCATAATTTTGATATTAGCATTTTCTTCCTCATTTTTCTCAGAATCTTTCCCAAATAGTATTGATTATTTGTATTGCTCTTAGTCTCAAGCGCATTAATTTCTGCCCTGATATATAATTTCCTCCCTTATGTGTGCTCTGAATTTAATTTGCTCTTCTTTTTCTAGTAGCTTGAAGTTCAACATTAGGCTGTTTATTTGATCTTGCTCTATTTTTCTGATGTGGCATTCACTTCTTGTTTTGTTTTGTTTGGAATTCACTTCTATAAATTTCCCTTGCAGGACTGCTTTCATTATGTTCCATAAGTTCCATTATGTTGATTAGATATTATCATTTAATTGGAGAAATCTCTCACTTCTTCAGTTTCATCTGTGACCCACTGTTTAGGAGGTTGTTATTTAATTTCCATGTGTTTATGCAGATTTTGTGGTTTCTTTTGCTATTAATTTCCAATTTAATTGTACTACGGTTTGATAATATGCTTGGGATAATTTCATGTTCTATGAACTAGCATGTAGCCTATTTTGGAGAAAATCCCTTGTGCTGCTGAGAAGAATGTGTATTCTGAGTTGCAAGGTGAAATACTGTAGATATCTACAAAGTCAATTTGTTCAAAGATTTGGTTTAATTCTGATATTTCTTTGTTGATTTTTTTTTGTCTAGTTGATCTGTGTATCTGTGACAGTGGGATATTGAAGTCCCCCATTACAATTACATTGATGTTTATCTGATTTTTCATGTCCGTTAATTTTATATTTGGTTCTGCTGGTATTTGATGCATATATATTTATGATTGTTATCTCTTACTTTTGGATTGTTCCTTTAACAAGGATATAGTGACCTTTCTCTTGCTTGATCAGTCTTGGCTTGAAATCTAGTTTATCTGCAAATAATATAGCTACCCCTGCTTTTTATCCAGGTTACTGTCATATGGAGTATTGTTTCCCATCCTTTGAGTTTCAGTCTAAATTTTTTTTGAGTTAAATGTGTTTCTGGTATGCTAAATATTGTTGAACCTTGTTTTTTGATTCTGTCACTCTGTTTCTTTTGATTGGTAAATTGAGACAACTTGTATTAGTGGTTATAATTGATACATATTGACTTAACTTTGTCATATTATTTTCCTATTATGGTTCTCTTTTTTATCCCTGTATTGAATTGCTTGTCTTTCCTGGTGGAATCATTGTATTGGGGTTCATGATATCATAGTATTCATTATTTCTTCTAGAATATTCTTCAGAACATTTTTTGAGTGCCTGTTTCAGTAGTTATGAATTTCTTTGGGTGTTGCTTATCATAGAAGTATCTTATTTCTCCATCAACTTTGAAAGATACTTTTTCAGGGTACATCAGTGTGGGTTGTAGATTGTTTTCTTTTAGGGCTTGCTCCAAGCTCTCGACTGTTTGTGTTGACATTCTGCTGTTATTCTTACGGGCTTTCCTTTATAGGTTATTTGTTTCTTTTTCTCAAATTATTTTAATATTCTGTTCTTGTGTTGAAGAATCCTGACTATTATATGCCTTGGTATATGTTATTTTTACCTCATGGTTTATTAGAGTCCTATATACCTCACTTACCTGTATGTCAAATTCTTCTTCCATGCTTGGGAAACTTTCTGCTATTACTTGTGGGGACAGGTTTTTTTTTTTTTTTAAATGCCCATTGCAAAATCTCCATTTTTATTTTTATTTTCTTTTTTTTAATCTGTACTAGGGAATGAACTTACAACCACACACTTGCAAGGCAGGCGCTTATGCCGCTGAGCTAAATTCCCAGCCCCTTCATTTTTATTTATTTCAATCAGTTTTATGTTGATCTTTGTACCACCTAGCAACTGTGGAACTCATTTTCTGCAGTCCCTTTGTATTTTTATTTTTATATTTCTTTTTTTTGTATGTTGGTATTTTTGTATGTTGGTATTTTGTATGTTGGTATTATAAAAATAAAAGAAGTCTTTCTTTTCATGATTACTAACCACAAACATGTCATATATATCTGATATTCTATCCTACATTGATTGATTTTGTACATATACTTTCTTTTTTTTAAAATTTACTTTAAAAAGGGTAGGAGTAAACAGAACAAAATAGAACAAAACAGATCATAAGGAAATAATTGTAAGAAACACAGATTTCAAAGCAAGTCCACTGGAGATCTTTACTGTCTATCTTATTGTCTCTAGTTTTCTTCCAAATAGTTGTATTCATCTTCACACACATTGAATACATATTGAACATTATAGAACTAATCAAATCATAACAGGATGATGAAGGCTTTTTAGGACATTGGGGCAGTCAATAATGACTACCATAAGGTCTCTCATTCTCTTTGTAGTAGCTGTTCTTATCTTTACATACTCTGAAATTGAACATGAGACTAGACTAATATCACTCTAAATAGTGAATGATATTATTGCTAGATTTTATATCATAGTGCTACAGAATTAGCACTGGGTTTCTTAGTGTCTCTTCTTCAGCGTATCTGTTCATTACATCGTGCATTATATAATC